CGTGGTGTACCATCCACCCCAACACAGGAGACATCGGTGTCAGATAAAAAGGAGGGGTCTGGCAGGTCTTGTTCCCTAAGGACACTACGGGCTGCACCTGTGTCAACTAGAAAGGTGGTTGGGTGACCCTCCACGGGGAGAACTACAGTAGCTAAAGGCCCTCCCCCATCCCCCGCAGACACTGCCATGGCAGGGGTTGCTGACACAGGCTTGCCAGTTACCTATTGCAATAAATCTAGATGGGCCTGGTCTGGTCCCTGGTACCGGCGGGAAGTGGAGGGAGGGTTAGTAGAATGCATGGGAGGACGGGATGGACGGATGGCGTGGCGGGGCTGTGGCTGGCTGTCTTGGAAATCATCGTTGTCATACCCTTCAGCGGAGGGCGAAGTGTATGCACAAGCTTCTGATGCAGGGAGCCGGGCTTGGGTGTATTCAGGAGGAGGAGGAGGTGGAGGAAGCTGAGGCAACTGTGGATGGGGCAGGGCAGGGAGGTAACCAGTGGAGGGGAAGTTATAGCCGGTGACATGGGGACTTGGGTACCGTGGAGTCTGTTGGCAGAACACTCTAGGGTGTGGACAATCTCTTCTAAAGTGACCTGGCTGATTACAATTAAAACAGGTCCGGATTGTCGTGATAGTCCGGTCCCGGGAGAAGGGAATTGGTGCAGGCAGTGTCTGGGGTGACTGAGTGTACTGTTGGGGGAGTATCTGAGGAACTTGGTTAGAACCTGCAATTGGTGTGGAGGTAGTGTACATCAGAGGACTAGTTCTTCGCTGTGTGGGTTGCAAAACAGATTCTAAGCCTTTGGCTACCAACAAAAGAGTGTCCAGTGGAATAATTCTATACTCAGGGCGAGCTAAAATTAACCCCTTACGAATGTGTTCCCTAAGACCTGCCACAAAAGCTGCAGATAGCATCTGGGTGTGTGCCTTGTTATAGGTGCTGAATCCTAAGTCTGAAAAAGTCTGAGTCAATCTAGAGTGATACTTTTCAACTGTCTCAAGTTTATCCTGAATTATGTCATTTATGCAAGTAGCCTGATCAGCTAGTTTATCCTGTGCCCAGGCTCGAAGCTGTTCACAGAAAATTTCACCAGAATGAAAATCAGTATCAGAAGTAAGTGGAGCGTCGTTAAAGCTCCGTTCCATAATTGGCCAGTATGCATCTCCAGCCTTTATTTCACACAAACTAATAAGATCCCGCCAAGCAGCGGAGTATGTTTTACGGATCTGGGCCATCCTGCGGAAAAAGGGCATGGGGTGTTTCTCAGGATCAGGGAGTGAGGTTACAAGGGTAGCAGCTTGGGAAGGGTTGAAGGTAACATACATGGGTGGTGCACCATCCGCTTCCTGGTTAATCTGGGTATAACCCTGGGGGATAGAGTGCCGTTGGGGGTGCCTGTTCCCCCCTAGGCGAGGTGAGCCCTGGTCCACCACAACGACCTACTCGGGTACCACCGGGCCGCGGTGAAGAGTAGTCTCAGGGGTAGCTGTGGCGGGGGCGGCAGGGAGGCCGGTGATAGGAGAGGTAGTTGGGTGGAAACCCGAGGCCTGGGGGGAAGCACCCATTGCATAGGGTTGATCTGATGTCACAGACACCTCGGATCCAACCACCATGATTGGGTAACTAGGACTGGCGGAAGGGACATGAGGAATCAATGCCGTGGAAGGGGCTGTTATGGGGGCCGGTTGAGATGGGCGTGAGAGGTGAGTATTTAGGACATGAGCAAGAGCAGAGATTGGATCGGAAGTCTCGGGGGTGTTAGCGGGAGACAAGGAAGGGGTTGGAGGTTCGGGGGGAGGAGGTGGAAGAAGGGGTGGTAAATCAGTGGGAGGCGGCACAGGGATTGCGGAATTAACCAGGGAGGTAACAGCAGAGAAGAGGGCGGATATCGAGCTAGACAGGTCATTGGCCATGAATGGGTCAGGGGTCACCGGGGGAGGGGTTGGAGGGATGGAAACAGGGGGCTGTGTCGTAACAACGTTGGTGGAGGGTTGGGACGGCAAACCAGTCGGGGGAGGAGGAGACAACGAGGTAGAGGGGGCTGGGACTCCGGGAGGAGGTAACGCTGGAGAAGGGGTTGGAGGGGTGGCAACAGGGGGTTGGGTCAGGGCAGTGAGGGCAGAGATTAGGGACGGCAAATCGGCCGAGGGAGGTGGAGGCAACGAGGTAGAGGGGGCCGGGACTTCGAGAGGAGGTAACACTGGAGAAGGGGTTCGAGGGGTGGCAACAGGGGGTTGGGTCAGGGCGGTGAGGGCAGAGATTAGGGGCGGCAAATCGGCCGAGGGAGGAGGAGGCAACGAGGTAGAGGGGGCCGGGACTTCGAGAGGAGGTAACACTGGAGAAGGGGTTGGAGGGATGGCAACAGGGGGTTGGGTCAGGGCGGTGAGGGCAGAGATTAGGGACGGCAAATCGGCCGAGGGAGGAGGAGGCAATGAGGTAGAGGGGGCCGGGACTTCGGGAGGAGGTAACACTGTGTGGATAGCGGGAGGGTCCTGGAGGATGGGAGGGGTGTCTGTGCATAAGGGAGCAGAGGCAAGGGGACCGGGATTAACGGGCTGGACAAGATTCATGAGAGTGGAGAGTAGGGATGAGGGATCCTTGGAGGAGGAGGAGGAAAGGGAATGAGAAGGAGAGAAGGGCAGGGAGGGTGAAGGGGTAGGGGTCACGGGACAGGTCACTTTCGAAAGGCTAGCGAGGAAAGAGGAAAGGTCTGGGTCCGGGGGTAGGGGAGAAGGAGGGTACGTGGGGGGACAGGGGTCCGGAGGAACGGGGTCGGTGGAATGGGCAAGGGTCGGGGGAGTTGGGTGTGTAACAGACGAGGAGGGTGAGGGAGCGGGTGTTGCTAGGGATGGGGTACTCGAGGTGGAGAGGGAATGAGAGGAGGAAGAGGAGGGAACTTCGGTGGGTGAGGCGGTAGTTGGGATGGGATCTTGACGAGGATTCGGAGTGGGAACAGGCGCTGGGAGAGGTAGCGGAGAACATGAAAGTGGGGAAACTTCAACAGACATGACGGGAGAATGGTTAATGGAGGGGGCTGGGTCATAGGAGGGTTGGTGCATGGGAGTGGGTGGGAACGAGTGAAGTGGCACTGGGTAATAGTAAGGACCATCCGCACCGAGAACGGGGCACAGGGGGGTGGGAGCTGAAGGCACACCCCCGGGGGGTGGGGTCTGTGCTGTGATGGGGGAAGCAGGGCGGGAATTTACTGTCGCGCTCTGGGCGCCATCATAGGGCGGTGGTCGCGGGACAATGGAAACAACATCATCATTGTTAACACTCCTATGGTAAACATACACAATTTGCCCCTCAAACTCCAACTCTTCCTCGACCCATCCTTCCCGTTTCAGACCTCTAGCTACCCGATACCAAGCCTCTGCAACCTTTGTGAGTCCATTATCCAACAACAACCCTTCCTTGTCTACGAGTAACTTCCTCCAAAACTCAGGCTGCAATCTCCCACTGGGCAACATCTGGAAGCCACACACCTTAGCAATCTTTTTAAGTTTCAACATTGCATCTTCCCCTGCCCTTTCTTTCACAATGTCACAAGCCAGCAAGCCCTTAGTAGGTCTAGCGCGTTCCTGCCCCATCTTGAGTAATCGAAGCGTGCCACGTGCTAAAGACAGATAAATAGAGGAGGTACAAAGGAGAAGGGAAAAAAGAATGTCTACAGTGCTCGACTGCCACGAGAACTTGAGCCCCGTGCGTCTTCCCCAAACGTAGACCAGTCACGGAGATCCGCCCACCCGGGGTGGTGGTCACGAACGGGAGCGAATGAGCGTGGGTGACTAACACAGCTCTGGGCAACAGGCACAGGAGAGATAAAGAACAAAGGAGAAGATGAACATGGCTGCGCTAATGAGAAGACATTTGCAAAAATCACAAACATATAAATGAGCGTAAACTCCGGAATCCAGAACTAACCACACAATACACACACACACACCGAGGGTACCCACACTGTAACAACAATTAAACAAAAACCACAGTATGATAGAGAGTAAAATGGCCATGTACATGTTAACACCACTGGTGCCAAATATTCAAAGTATAGCAATCCCCAGCCGTCACCCACCAGGCTGGTCCCGGTATAACACAGGTACCAATGAAAACACTGCAATAATCAAACAAAATCCCAGCCCCACCGGCTGTAATGCGTTCCCTGCCCGCTAGGCAGTCAAGCTAACATAAAATCCCAGCCCCACCGGCTGTAATGCGTTCCCTGCCCGCTAGGCAGTCAAGCTAACATAAAATCCCAGCCCCACCGGCTGTAATGCGTTCCCTGCCCGCTAGGCAGTCAAGCTAACATAAAATCCCAGCCCCACCGGCTGTAATGCGTTCCCTGCCCGCTAGGCAGTCAAGCAAACATATAAAATGCGTTCCCTGCCCGCTAGGCAGTCAAGCAAACATATAAAATGCGTTCCCTGCCCGCTAGGCAGTCAAGCAAACATATAAAATGCGTTCCCTGCCCGCTAGGCAGTCAAGCAAACATATAAAATGTGTTCCCTGCCCGCTAGGCAGTCAAGCAAACATATTTTAAAAGAAGGAGAGACACACACACATATAAATGAATACAGGAGGCAGATAGACAATCGACAGGTTCACTTTAAAAGGGCACACCGGATGAGTTAATTACCTGTCTCTAGTAGCCTTCTGGAAGCCGGAAGTGGACTCGGAGACAGACCGACACAAAACAGGAGAATAACACAGGCAACGGCTGTATTATGGAGGTGATCAGGCTCCGCTTGTCCCACTTTCCGGAGGTCCGCTCCGGTCCGTTGGTTCCGGCCCTCCGAACCGGCCCTCCCGTGGCCCCACGTTGGGCGCCAATTGAAATGGAAAAATCAATCAAGGTATTGATTATTTCTTTGTGTATCTGCCCCTGGTCAAATCAATGAAACAATGCGTGCATGCTCCCTGAAGTAATTCACACCAGACACAGGTTCCAGGTTGTTGAATAACTTGAGGAAAGTTTATTCAGAGGGGACGGCAGGTCCCTTTTAAAGCAAAATTACATCATAAGCATTGTCAGAGATAACATGGAATAATACATCAATAATTGGTTAGGTGTTAAGTGGTCGCTCTAATGCTCTGCCTACTGTAGGTGATGTCACCGGGGCCATGAGGGTCTCCCACGGTTTCCCGGCGCCATCTTGTTGCACGAGGTAGTTAGTTGGTGTTAAGAAGGGAAGGGGGGGGGGAGGAGGGGTTAGAAGCTTCTAGCAGCCATTTTGATTAAAACATGTGTGCTTAGCTTTATATATATATATCGTGGAATGAGTAAATAGACATTTTTCACTAACTAGGAAATATGTGCAGACCTTATTTCCACAACAGTTAGTCACGTATAACACGTTACATCCAGTTTTATACTTGGATATTACCATATTTTACTCTCTCTTACAGTTTAACTGGAAGTTCATCCACTGATGACATTGTTCCTTATTTGAAATCCTTTCTTCATTTGGATGGCAGTACATGTTCGGGATCGCAAGAAAGAAAAAAATTGTCAAGGGAATACCGCGTATTATGCTGGAGAGTGGAACCTGATTGGCTGATTGGTTGTCAGGGAAGATATATGTTTTTTTTATTTTTATAAATTCTTTATTTTTGTAGTGCATACAGATATAACAATTGCTTAGGAGGTACCCCAAAGGCAGTCCTCTAGCGCAGTATGTACAGTGTAACATAGGGGTTGGCAGTAGATATCGCACATTTTTGTTTTTTGAGTAAGGAGATTGATGGTATAGGTTTACATTGCCTAGGTTCAAAAAGCAGCATACCTTTTGTTTATATATGACAATAAGTATTTACAAGGGTTTCGTTGCAAAGTCTGGCATTTTAAACATTACTAGTTTGTTCAGACCCTGAAAAAGACAGGTTATGAGGTTTCGACAGTTGGCAATAAACATGCTAGACTGGATCTCTATGTGACAATTCTGTCTACGCTTAAGTTTATATCATGGTTTTGAGAGAACAAGTTACTAAAATGGTGGTTAACTATGAACGTGGTGCTGCATGTCCCGTAACCTAGTACCCAGGGTTTCTGTAAGGTAAGTTTTACACGCTACAACAATCCTGCTTGATCTGGCGTTGTGTCGCCATGAGTCCCACTAAGGTGATAAGTTGCATGTAATTATCTTGGTGTTCCATACCATGTTCTACTTAGATTGGTGTACTATGTCTGCTTATTTCGTGTGAGTAGGTCTTAGCGGAGGCCATGGAGCCACGGGTTCTCACCACACTACTCGCCAATGTATCCCTAGTCCAGGGCATTGTGGCTAGGTGTGACGTGTATAATCTTAGGTTTCCCTATCATGAAATTGGCTCGTGTGCCTCCTGGGTAGGTGTACTATGTGTGTGTGTGTGTGGTCCTTGACCCCTAACCGACGGGGGCCTCGGGGGAGAGGTATTATTGATATATGAGCGTGCTCCGGCTTAACGGTGGCTGTTGTGGGGATTGCGGTGCCCCTCAATTGTGGTGTTGGTATGTGGGTCAACTCCTGTGAGTCGGCCGTTTAGCTTAAGTAAGTGTTATATGGGTGTGTGCCCTGCTAGGTTCCCTCTATGGTGCTAAACCCTTGGTATCTATGTTAACTGTGAACAGGTAATAGAAAAAACATTATGGTTAACTCTGGTAAATTCCCATCGGCGGGCTGAGTGGTAGTCATGTACGTCAAGTGTCCACTATCGGGCTTTCCCGTCTCCTCGGTACAAAAGGGACAGTTCTGGTGGGGTCCCATGTATGGGAGCTGGTGGGCTCGTCAGGTGGATCTGGTCTCTGTGAGAGCTTCAGCGCCTTGAGGAAGGAGTCCGCTTCCTGGGTAGAGGTGAGATGCAGAGTAGTGCCGTTGTGGTCCACGGACAAGGTTTTGGGTGTTGTCCAACGGTAGATTACTTTGGCTTCTTGGAGGCGACGGGTCACTGGGCGTAGGTTTCGTCTCCATTGAAGTATGGATCGTGTTAAGTCTTGGTAAAAGGTGAGACTTGCGGATTCAAAGTCCAGTGGCGTTTTGCCCTTTATCGCTGCAAAGATGGCGTTCCTGTCTGCCTGAGTATTGCACCTGACGATTACATCCCTGGTTGCTTGGGGGGGTGCCTGTGGTGATTTGCGGATGCGAAACATCTCTGCGACGGCCAGTTTTTTGGCCTGTGCATGTGGCAATATGGTGGTCATCAGTCGCCTGAGATAATGCGGCAACTCTGACTGGCTGATATCGTCGGGGACTCCCCTTATTTTTACATTGCATTTGCGGCTCCTCTCTTCAGTTGCCTCAAGTTTGCTGAGCAGAGTTGAGTGAGAGGATTTTAGGTGTGATACCGTTTCTTTAAGGCCTTGTATTTCTTGTTGTATGTCGTTGATATCTTCCTCTGAGGCTTTCACACGGTCCGTGACCGCTTGGACCTCCGTTTTCATGATGGCCATGTCTGCCGCTGTCATTTGTTTTAGTTCCCGCAGAAGGTTTTTAATGTCCAGTTTGGTGGCTGGTGTTAAAGCATCTGGGTCCGCTTGTATGTCTTGGGGCAACCGATGATCTGGTGTATCCCCCTCAGCCTGATCCGAGCATGTGGAGATAGTCTCTGGGTCAGGCGTGGTCGCCATCTTTGAGCCCGCCGGGCGCTGGAGCATGGTGCTAATGTCATGGGTGTCTTTGCACGCACCTGCTGCCGTCCGCTGGGATTTTCTCCCCATGGTGTCCGGGTCGGTGGGTGCTGGCTGTGCAGTTAAGGAGAGTGCTGCGCTGTATAGTGCCGTATCAAGGGCCCTGTAGTCTGGGTAGGCCTTGGTTTTACGGCGGACTCTCCGACCCGTCTGCTGGAATGTAAAGGGCATCAGTCGGGTGTCTGTTTTGCTCTCCCGGTCTGCCCGCAGGGTTCCGGAGGTATGTGGGCTCTTTTGGTTTTATGTTTGTTGTATTTTCTCGTCGATTTTGTCGCGTGTTTGCCGGAGCTCTCCGTGTGTGCGACCGCTCGGTTCCGCGGCTAAGCTCCGCCCCAGGGAAGATATATGTTAATGACTGTTTCCTGTGTTCATATCATTGTTAAAGATTTTTCTTTGCTGCTGAGGGAAATAAAGAAAGAGTGCATCATAATACTTGCCTCCTTGTCATTGATAAAATCATGACTTTACGTCATGTAAATAGTAAAATCTGGTAATTCAAACTATCAAATAGATGGTACTGAACACCTAAACGCCTAAAGAGAATCTTCCCAGAGCTACCAGACAGATGTTGGAAATGTAACATTGGGGAAGGCAATATGATCTATAGTTGGTGGCAGTGCACACCCATAAATAAAGTTTTGGAAAGAAGTAATCAAGATTTTCCATCAAATAACGGAAATATAACTACCTTGTAAACCTGAAGTGGTTTTACTAAATTTGCACTGGCCAGAAATGACAAAAAAAAACAAAAAAAAAAACGACAATGTTGTTATTACACATAATTACGGCAGCCAAACTACTTCTTGCAAGAAATTGGAAAACCGAGACAATTCCAAATATCAATGAACTGATAAAACAAGTAACATGGCAAGCAAGAATGTAAAGGGGTATCTTGGTAAACAGATACAAGCAAATAGAAGACTGGGACGTATGGATAAAAAAACTGGATGATATACTAGGCCTTCGATGTTCCACACAGTGATCTGACTTGGGAGAAATGTAACCCTAAACTGGGCAGACAGATAAACAGAATAACAAAACATTGAAATCATAAATGACATAGGAGGCTCTTGCTCGCTCTTAGAATTGATGCACAGAGTGAAAAAAAAAAAAAAAAAAAAATAATAAGTCTACTCGGTGTGTCTCTTTCAATAAGTGTCTCTTCACTGCAATTCAGAGTTTGGTAAATAAACCTCTGAGGGAATGTAGTTGCATTCATGAGGGGGCAGCAAAATGGATTGTTGCACCGGCCCTGGAGATAATATACACATCACATGGTCTCTTAATATTCAAATAAATACGGAATAAAAGTAGCAAAAGTTATCACAAAGCCCATCAATAATAAACAGAATTTAAAAAATATATATTACTGGGAGCAACTTGCATTTTCACATTTTTAAATTTTTAATTAAAAATATTTTTATTGATGGTTATTTGATGGTTATTTGTTTCGTAGTTACATTTGCAAGTTTGCCACTTGTAAACCCCACCAAAAAAAGCTAAATTAGAAAATTCTGAAATGGATTTGACAAACATGCTATTTTGAAATGTAATTAGTAATCTTAATCATCAGCACACAGTAATGGGTATTGAAGACCAACAGCGGGAGTAACACCAGCAATACCAAGAGACGCACTTTGATTGTCGAAATGTTCATAACATGCTGAATATTGTTAGGGGACAATATGACAATATACACAAAACGGTACTGATCACATATGAAGTAAACCCGTAAACCTGATAAGATTGGTGAGGTGGGAATACAGGCCATTTTATATTTGGAAGACCAGATCCCCTTTAATAAAGATATATCGAAAAATTAATCTTTTAAAGCAAAAATGAGTTTAATGGATCCTGCAGTATAAAGTGAGTGACCTCAGCTTAAAGTGATCTCTGATTAACCTGTAGCAATGGGTAATTTAAAAAAATTTTTTTTTTACAAACATTTAAAAAGGAAAGGTTTGTGAAGGCAAGCCATTGCCAGCTTACAGAAAGAGTCAGAAGAATAAGAGGGAAAAAAAACCTTTCCATCACGGATATGTTCTCTGTTGAGTGTCCAGCAACACAGGAGACATTTTGAGACATATAATGTAATGGGGATTGTATGCATTACTGTAGGTCAGACAGAACTTTTTTTTTAATCTATCAAAGACAAAACCCTCCACTCACAACATATAGTTTTAGCTTAGACAGAAGTTATCTAATTATATTATCGTATCGGTAGGAAACATAATGGTGATAATTTCAAGGAAATCAGAAGTATGTGCACTGATATAAAACAGGCACTTGTATATCATTTTTACATTTATTGTTCCATTAAATCACATAACAGATGTAACAGTCACAGGCAAGCTACAAGAAACAGAACAATATTTTGCATAACAAAGCACATTGTATTGGTGATTTTTCTTTCTTTGGATACTCAATCATTAGTTAATTATGCATATCAGGTGCAAAAAAAGTGCATATTGATTTCAATAGTAAAACGCATGGCCAACATCAGTCTTCCAACATCCACTACACTTGCTGTTCACATGAACATATTTTCTCTTGTTCCACTTTTTTCAGCTGGGTCATAAACTTAATTAGCATAAACTTATCCAAGACATGTTCTGTGACTTCCAGAGGCACGTGCAGACTTCTGTTCAAGACATAAGTTCGGTTTCATGGTGGGCAAGTGCAGGAGGAAGAGTTGTTCCACAAGGACCCTGGAAATGAAATCTGAGGAAAGAAAAAAAAACATTTAAGAGTCTGTGTGTGCATTTTATAAGTATTACAGTACATTCAGAAAAGAAAGGATTACAAATGCAAATATAATCTAATATATGATTCCCAAAATGTTATACTGCACTTGCTACTGTGCAATATTAAGAAATGCTCTTTTCTTCTTTAACTTTATGATCTTAGTGCAGAGTACATAAGTTTGGTATGAAATGTATAATTGAGAAAAAGATCATGTTATCACAGTCAATGTAACGGGGAATTAACTGACACGTCTGTACGAGGAACTCAAGATGATGAGACTTGGAACCTTGAGTCTTATTATATAATTTTTTTTATTTATTTTTTTTAAACAATACTGGATGCTTAGTCTAATTTTACACACATCCAGTGGTGTACCTACCACGGTCAAAGGGGTCGCAGCTGCGACCGGGCCCCTCACTGCACATGACCCAACCGCAGCCTTGAGGCCTGCAACCGTAGGCCGCCAAGATGCCGCCACCCTCTGTGTTCCCCCTGTCATAGGGGGGCCCAAGAGGTGGCCCACTGGCCACCTAATGGACCCCCTGGCGGGCGGCAGAGTTCCTGCCACACGCGGTGAGGGAGCTGTGTTCTCTCTACTCTGCTCCCTCGCGCGCCGTTTGCTGATGCCAGTAGCAGTAGACAGCTCGTGAGGGAACAGAGCAGAGAGAACACAGCTCCCTCGCCGCGTCTGACAGGAACTCTGCCTGCCGCACCGAAGCCCCACTGGACCCCAGGTACAGATCAACGCCAGCTCTCCAGGTAGGGAGGCAGGGTGGACATTTAATATTAATAATTTGTGTGTGTGTAAGAGTATGTAAGTGTCTGAATGTGTATGTCTAAATGTGTGTGTCTGAATGTGTATGTGTCTGAGTGTATGTGTGTGTCTGAATGTGCATGTGTCTGAGTTTGTCTGAGAGTGTGTGTGTCTGAGTGTATGTCTGTAAGTGTATGTATTTGTGAATGTGTGTGTTTCTGAGAGTGTACGTGTGTATATGTCTGAGTGTGTATATGAGTATATGTGTGTCTGTATGTATGGGTCTCTGTGTGTATGTTTGTGTGTGTCTGTATGTACGTGTATCTGTTTGCATGTGTGGGGTTGGCGGGGACGTGTGGAGTAGGAGGTAGATGTATGGGGGCCCCAGGGAAATTTTCGCACCGGGGCGCCGTGGTTTCTAGTTACGCCTCTGCTCACATCCACTGTACGATATTTGTTATGCAACTGATACAGTGTTCTATTTTTCATCTGTAACTATGTACAAATCCAACTTTGATGTAATGTCCTTAAAACAAGTCAAAATGAGGCTCAGTAGTGTGTGTGGCCTCCATGTGCCTGTATAACCTCCCTACAACGCATGTGCATGCTCCTGATGAGGTGGTGGATTGTCTCCTGATGGATCTCCTTCCAGACCTGGACTAAAGCATCTGCCAACTCTTGGACAGTCTGTGGTGCAACGTGACGTTGGTGGATGGATCGAGACATGATGTCCCAGATGTGCTCAATTGGATTCAGGTCTGGGGAACGGGCGGGCCAGTCCGTAGCATCAATGCCATCGTCTTGCAGAAACTGCTGACACACTCCAGCCACATGAGGTTTAGCATGGTCTTGCATTAGGAGGAACCCAGGGCCAACCGCACAAGCATATTATCTCACAAGGGGTCTGAGGATCTCACCTCGGTACCTAATGGCAGTCAGGCTAACTCTGGCGAGCACATGGAGGGCTGTGCGGCCCCCCAAAGAAATGCCACCCCACACCATTACTGACCCACTGCCAAACCGGTCATGCTGGAGGATGTTGCAGGCAGCAGAACGTTCTCCACGGCGGCTCCAGACTCTGTCACGTCTGTCACATGTGCTCAGTGTGAACCTGCTTTTATTTATGAAGAGCACAGGGTGCCAGTGGCGAATTTGCCAATCTTGGTGTTCTCTGGCAAATGCCAAATGTCCTGCACGGTTTTGGGCTGTAAGCACAACCCCCACCTGTGGACGTCGGACCCCCATACCACCCTCATGGAGTCTGTTTCTGACTGTTTGAGCAGACACATGTACATTTGTGGCCTGCTGGAGGTCATTTTGCAGGGCTTGGGCAGAGCTCCTCCTGTTCCTCCTTGCACAAAGGCGGATGTAGTGGTCCTGCTGCTGGGTTCATGCCCTCCTACGGCCTCCTCCATGTCTCCTGATGTACTGGCCTGTCTCCTGGGAGCGCCTCCATGCTCTGGACACTACACTGACAGACACAGCAAACCTTCTTGCCACAGCTCACATTGATGTGCCATCCTGGATGAGCTGCACTACCTGACCCACTTGTGTGGGTTGAAGACTCCGTCTCATCCGCCAGCACAGGAACTGAGAAGTAGTCTGTGGTCAACACCTGCAGAACCACTCCTTTATTGGGGGTGTCTTGCTAATTGCCTATAATTTCTACCTGTTGTCTATCTCATTTGCACAACAGCATGTGAAATTGATTGTCACTCAGTGTTGCTTCCTATGTGGACAGTTTGATTTCACAGAAGTGTGATTGACTTGGAGTTACATTGTGTTACATTGTGTTGTACTCCTTTCCTTTGGTACCTTGTCCTGGTATTAGGGTGTTACACACAGTCTTTTCAGGCTTCTTTTTAACTGTTCCTCTTTCAACTCACAAGAAGCGAAAACAAAATCTCTCTTCCTTCTTGGCAGGGAAGTACTTAATAGAACCTGCAATTAACTATCCTTTTCAGGTGAGGTAAATCAAAGTGTTGAAACTCTGGAACTGGACTCCTCATCTGCATTTTGCCAGCAATCTTCAAATTGTGGAGTGGAGCACTGGCCCATCCTACTCTCCAAGTGCTCCACTCCAGGGTCCAAACACACACTACTATAAAGTGCAATATTCATTTTAAAACCACACATTTCCCTGGGGCTAATCTTCTGCATTACACAAAGTAGGAACCTTGCAGTATTTGGGGAGATATATAGACTGCACCCAGCACAAAATTCCTTGCTTTCGGTATATATACACACACACACACACACACACACACATACATACAGGAACAGGCACTCTGCACCAGATCAATTGAAGCTGGAGTGTACCACACCAGGCAAGACTCAAGGTGCAGACTGTACAAAGAGGCCTCTGAGAAAGACCAGCACCTAGTAGCCGGATGCAGGAACAGCATTTACGGAGAGACACAACCAGGTTGCTGGGATTGTGTATGAAACATCTGCACAGAATATGGATTGGACCTGCCTAAGTCCCTAAGGGGAGATACCACAAAGGATAGTTGAGAATAACAGGGCTAAGATCCTGTGGGACTTCAAGATAAAGACAGATAAGCAAATGCTGGCCAACCAACCCGACACTGTGATGGTAGACAAGGAACAGAAGACTGCAGTAGTGGTGGATGTGGTAGTACCCTGTGACTATAACAGAAAGAAGGAATATGAGAACGTGGACAAATACCAAAGACTGAAAGAAGAGCTAGAAAGGATGTGGAAAGTAGTAGTCCCAGTTGTGATAGGAGCACTCGGGGCTGTGACTCCCAAGTTGGGGGAGTGGCTTCAACAGATTCCAGGTTGGACATCGGAGATCGCTGTCCAGAAGAGTGCAGTTCTGAGAATAGCTAAGATACTGCACAGAACCCGCAAACTCCCAGCACTCTCTCGGTTTTCCAAGTGTATTAAAAAAATAATCACAATCTATACATCTGTTGATGTCTTTACTTTGTTATTTTTTGGGGTTGAGTGGCAGAGTTTGGACATTATATATATATATATAAAAATAAAACTAATATTTCCAGTAAGTGCACTGAGGAATTATACTGAAATTTGATGTACAGTGAACTGTATGCCAGAGATGTAATATAACGCTAGTTATACATTTATTATAATACTAAGTAAAAAAAGCTATTTTATATTAAATGCAAAATGTTATTCCAATATCATGATGTGTAATGCTACCAGCACAACCATAAGACCTGACTCCTGGGTTTATTAAAGCCTTGGGTGGGTTCTCACATCAATCTAATGGTCTCAATCATTTTGTTTCAAATTACTTCTTGTGTCACACATTTGGATTTAATGTGAAATATATTGTATCCGTGATATCTGGTTCCTGTTCGATTAGCCAATATCTTACACACCAGCTTCAGTATAAATAATTTTTTAATATGCTCGCTCAAATAATGTCCTCCCCTTATTATTCCCTTGCTCTAAACCCGCCCAGAAATTTGTCTCTTATTAATGTTGCCACAGAATTTATCTAAAATTTATCTTAGGCTGATGTTCCATATCCTAATTGCGGCTAATACATTAATAGTCCGTTCATGGAAGTCTGCTTACACTCCTAACAAATAAAATAATTACAGAGGTCCTAGTGATGATATTTGAGTTGCCGTATTAAGGAGTATTGCAGTTTTTTTAAATACTGCAAGTAGTAGTGAGGTGTTTCAGAAGTCCTCCCTTTGCCAAATGAAACAAGCAAACTAAGATGGCGGTAATACAGAGGTTACTGCAGCTCAAACACTATTCTAGGGTGCTGTAAATATTCTCTGGGATATCAGAACTGGAAAAAAAAAAAAAAAAAGAGTTAAATGAAGAGATAGGAAGGGAGGAAGAGAAAGATGTAACTGGCAGAAATGCAGATGCATTTCTAGTGAGACATGGTTCTAGAGCTTCTATGTGGGGTAATAATTAGAATGTCCTCCTATTGATTACTATGCTGAGGTAGGCATCTCCTATCAGTGTATCTTGCCAACATACTTGTGTTCCTTGAGAATGTGATTTAATGGAAACATGCCATTGCTGGTCCTCCTCCTTTCCTTTTGTTTGTTGCCTACATTTTCTTCTTCTCTTTTCTTGGAACTAAACGCTGATTTTGTGTATTACTTGATTCATATATTTGCTGGTTAGAAAAGCTGTAATGTTATTGCCTTAGAACTGGAAAACCCATATTTGGAAGTCTGTCATTTCACCTTGCCAGTAAGTGTCCTTGGGCAAGACACCTACATCCACCTAGCTCAAATCTTCATAGTTTTACCACATGACAGGAGGCTTATGTTTGAGCAGGACCTTCATATATAACCTTTCTACAAATTGTAAAGCACTGTGGAATATGTTGGCGCTATATAGTAGCGGTAAATAATAAGAATTCTGACTTTGATTTCATGTAATTTGACAATGCACTGGTAAGTTGTGGTTTCTATTTACTTTTAGATTTGTCATTGCTTATCTGAGTAATACAATAAAACATTGCCATGAAAATTAAAAAAAAAAAACATTTTTAAAAATACAACTATTAAAATAAGTAAAACACCAAAATATCTACATCATTGGACCCATTCGCTTTAATATTTTTATTAGTGATATTGCAGAAGGTCTTGATGGTAAGGTATGTCACTTGGAGTATTGTACACAGTACTGGAGACCGTATCTTCAGAAGGATATTGATACCTTAGAGAGGGTTCAGAGAAGGGCTACTAAACTCGTTCATGGATTGTGGGATTACCAGGAAAGGTTAAAGGATCTTAACATGTATAGCTTGGAGGAAAGACGAGACAGGGGTGATATGATAGAAACATTTAAATACATAGAGGGAATCAACACAGTAAAGGAGGAGACCTTTAAAGGAAGAAAAACCACAACAAGAGGACATAGTCTTAAATTAGAGGGGCAAAGGTTTTAAAATAATATCAGGAAGTATTACTTTACTGAGAGGGTAGTAGATGTCTTCCAGCTGAAGTGGTAGAGGTTAACAAAGTAAAGGAGTTTAAGCATGCGTGGGATAGGCATAAGGCTATCCTAACAATAAGATAAGGCCAGGGACCAATGAAAGTATTTAGAAAATTGGGCAGACTAGATGGGCCGAATGGTTCTTATCTGCCGTCATATTCTATGTTTCTATCAATTATTCTTACTATCTCACAACCTGCTCCTCATTTATTTGAAAATCACACATTTTGTACTTTTACAAGGAGTCAACACAAACCAACATACTACAGGGATCCTAATCCACCTTTAAACATCTTTCTACATTATGAGGCAGTCACAATCCAGCACGTGAAAGTGAAGGACTCGACCTGGATGCGCAAGGATGTGGAATGTCCAAATGTCTATAATACTGATAACCAAACCATTAGCTATTACTAAGGTAGTAAGGTAGTGTAACCAATATTTATCCTGGCACCACAAGTCATTGCTGGCACAACAGGACATTCTTATCAACCAGGTTAAATGTGTCATATCAGGTAGACTTGTCCAAAATTCACCATATTTTAGATATTTTAGATATATTACCAAAATCTCTTTACAGGCCCAAGAAAAGCCTCATTACGCATGATGGTTTACAAACCAAGAGAACGTGTGGATAAATGCTATACAGAATACTGTGGGACTTTAGAGGATTCCACCAGACATTGATAGACTGGATACATTGCACAGCCTGTCAGCAAGAGTGTTTTCTCCCTCTCTGTACTCTTTTATTTACCCATTTCCCCCCACAGTTCCCAAGATAAGCTTACTTAACATTACTTTTGATTTTTCTATATCATCATGTATCACACTGATAGTAAACTGTTTTGAGTTCATGTTTAAACAGATTACGAGTTTCTAATTTGTCAAACTTCATTTAAAAAGGTAAACAATATACTATTTATATTACCAACCAAAACATAAAATCACATGCATCACAAAAATGCAGCTTTCATATATTTCATTAAAACACAGACTTATAATAATAATAATACTTATATATCCATAAAAAATGTCTTACGTGAAACTTGTTGTAGCTGGTGTACTTTCCATGTTAAACTCTGCAACTGGAACCCCTCTAGAAGCCACTTGGGGGGCAAACATGGCAGCAGGGTAAACAACAGAAGAGGTTCCAACCTGCAAATAACAGCCAGGAAAGGAAGAATATAGCACTTTTAATTACCACACAGAACCACTCATGCTAAAATCTGCTAATTACAACAGCCCTTTTAATAAGTATATATATATAAATATATATTAAAATGAAGCATGTGTAAAAACAATTAAAAAAAATAAGCGGAAACCATCCCTACCTTTAGTATATGACAGGATCCTTCAGCCATGTATGTGCACCTTAGATTAGACAGTCTCCATACATTTCTCTGCTTCACTCCCTGCACAGAAGCAGGGAAGACCATAGAGACTAACTGTTGTTTCTAACACTGACTGATCCAAAGTGTCTGTGTATGTCTGAATGATCCTCTCATAAACTAATGATATGAATGAGTTTCTCTCATATTAAATACTCATATTTAAATATAAAAAATATCTATCTATATATCTATATATTTCCTTTCAAAACTCGATGAAAGGATTATTATATATTTAAAAAAAAAAATTTGAGATGACAATTGTTCTCTTTAAGTGTCAGGTTCATTTTAAAGGTACAGTAATCCTAATTTTCACAGTCATTAACAAAGTTATTTACCCAAGTGAGAATACAAAGTACATTTCAAACTTAGGACCAGAGTATTCAAATTGGAACGGTAGAGACTTTTTCCAGTTCTGCTATTTTGTTTTTTGTTTTTTTAAATTCTTTATTTAACTGTTAGCATTGACATAGCATGCTGATTTTCAGAGGTAATAATCATATCCGTTACAGACATAACATTCACATCCCATACTAAACCCACTATCCACACTAGGGCAGACCGCCTCTCCTCTCCTATACCCCACTGTGCATAGCTCCGAGTCCGTGAATTGCTCATGAGTCCCCCCGGTTCTCCCGCTTTCCTTGCCAATGCCAGTTTTCTTATTTTAACCAAACACGAGATAAACAGACAGAAACAAAAGACAAAAAACAAAACAAAAACAAAAAACACGTTTGTCTCCAACTCTCGAAACGTAAGCCATTCTGCTCCGCCCGGGCCATGGGCCCCCCATCGGTATCTCTCCCTCCCGCCAATTCCCTCCATCAGGACAGCTCAATAGTTGGCTATACCCCATTATTGGTCCTTCCTACATGACAGTTCTGCTATTTTGATCTTAAAGCAGCACTGTCACAATGAAATTACCTTTCTCCTATTGTTTCCTCTTCTCTTCCTCTCTAAGAATCCGTTCTTTTCTTTATTTCTGATCTAGTTTTCTTTAACCCCTTAAGGACACAGCTTCAGAAATAAAAGGGAATCATGACGGAATATTTCCGTCATGTGCCCTTAAGGGGTTAAAACATAAGATAAAGTAGGGACTACTTTGTCTTATGGATTTTTCCTATGCTTGACTTTCTATGACCAAAGGAGGAGTTTAACTCAGCTCCATTTCCTGTGTCAGACAAAGTACTCACCCTTCTCCTTGACATAGAAAATAGAGCTGAGTTTTAAAGAAAACTAGATCAGAAATGAGGAGAAGAACAGATTCTGAGAGAGGAAGAGAAGAGGAAACATAGGAGAAAGGCAAGTTCTGAGTGACAGTGCCACTTTAAATATGAAATTCACTTTGAATACTCACTTTAGCGGAAAACCCTGTAAATAAAAAAAAATTACATAATCATACCACCAAACAGAGATCACAGATTTCAAGTTCCTTCTCAACTTCTCCTAGAACATTGGAATCCAAGGTCTCTCCAAACCATACTACATTAGGCCGCAGGAGTCCACTGCAGTCTTTTTCTTCACACCTACAGTGACCGGAGATAATCAAAGACTAGTTGCATAAACGTACATCCAACATGCAGAGATAACAACTTTAAGAATGTTGATCAAATTGATATTATAAAAATATTCTAGATACTATAGGTGCCAGGAATATAAAGCTGTATTCCTGACACTATAGCACCCTCTCATAAAAACTCTTTATTTACTTACCTACCTTTTCCCAGCGTCAATGTACCTCGGCTCTGGGCCAACGCTCCACCTCGCATCAGATACCAGACGTCAGATGCCACTGTGGGCAGACTTAGAGCTGCAATGTAAACATCGAAGCTTCTCTGGAACTGCAATGTTTAACATTGCAGCACTAAGTGCAAAAGGGATACTGCACCCAGACCACTTCAATACGCTTAAGTGGTCTGGATGCCTACAGTGTCCCTTTAAATATAAAATTCATAAAAATTCATAAGACAATACAAAAAAACATACCAAATTTCCATTTATTTATTTTTAGAGAAATGTAAGCTACCTTTGTAGACATAATGAGCTGGACAGTTGGGTCTGATTTAGTGACAGCAGGGCTAAAGCTAAATACACATAACATTCATGTTGACATAGGGTCTACAGAGACCAGATAGTTTGTCACAACAGCAAAGAATGATATTGTTTCTAAGGGGATTAAAGAAGACATGAGGATTAAAGCGTGCAGTCTGCAAGTCAAATATTTGTGTTGAGGCATCCTGTGTGTTAAAGGTAAATAAGTATACTTAAATAGAGTGGTGAATAGTCAACTGGAGCCACTAAAGTACTTGGCATGACAGAGTCCATTTAACTCCTGGATACTTTGACTTAATAGCATTACCACGAACCACAAAGCTATTGTAGAAGGGCATGACTTCTTACCCAGGTCCACCGGGCGCCACTGCCGCCTCCACGACTTTCTCCAGATAGCCGGAAGCACCTGCTTAGGAGCGTCCGTTAACTCTTTTGAGCCAAGTCACACAGTACAGGGCTAGCTTATTGACTGAGCATGTCAACTGATCACTCATACACAGTGAAATAGAGAGCCTCCAGCTCACAGGATGTGGTAGTGGTGGTGTAGAATGGCACGTGGCAGACCCCAGGTAATAAGTCAAACCATTCTTAAATGGTTTGACTACTCTTGGTGCTGTGGTGGTTATGGTGTTTGGATTATTTTAATTATAATGACCATCCAATCATAAGAACTTGTGGGATTGTCAGAACATGTTGAACATTGTCAGAACATGTTGAACATATAGTGATTTACATTTTTCAGACAAGGAAAAGCTTGTTTGCTCCAACAACCTCAGCAGCTCTGAGTGCATGAAATAGAGGATATAACAGCTACATTTAGCTTGACAGGTAGACAGAAAATAAACACAGACAGAGGACCAACAATCTAACTGTTGAAGCTTTAATAAAGAATAACAAGGTTTCTGATTGTCAGGACTTCAACGTGAATTTAAAATTTGCTGCATAAATTCTACATCTGTTGCTGTTGGTTCTTCTATTTTAGCTTTGTGGAAAAACCTTGTGACACGAACAGATATCCAGATAATCATTGTGACCACTAAGAAGTCCTGCTCCTGATGCAGCTTTCCATTTTAATTATAACAAGAGACTTTGCTAAGTAAATCATGAAAAATACCCACCGTGGAAGATTTTCTACTGGGATCTTTGCATCTTCTACGTCTGGATCAGGGGCACTAATAATGGTGAGAAAAAAAAAAATTGTATTTCTGGTTATTGTATATTGCTTGAAAACACAACCATGTTGCAATATAGAGAACTGCCTTCATAGTATACACAAAAACCATGCTAGGAGTTATTTACTTATTTGCCAATGGTCAGGAATTCAAAGTGAATTTCAAAATTTAGGTCACAACAGCAGAATTAGAAACATTTAAAATCAAATATGTTTTTAGGTTGACTTGTAGATGAAACTCACTTTAAAAATGTATTTTGAATTCCTGACAATTCCCACTTTAGTGAATAAACCTACAAGTATATAAATATGATAGAACGGAGGGAGTTGGCCGAAGGATAATTACACTTTCAGGACAATGGCACGGCAGGTCTGTCAAGATATAAAGGGATCTGTCGAATCCCAAGAGGTTAGGATTACCAATCACTTCACTGCAGTCCTCCTGTATGTTCTTGGCAGCCCACTCCTCAAATTGAGAGGAAGAACTCAGATTGTTGCATTATTCTAAAACTACTAGGAGCATGACAAGTGCTCAGACAGGACACTTAAAAATTACAAAAATCCGAACGTGATAATTTTCCCTTCTATTTCTTGTTTTATATAAAGATGATTAGAAATAAACAGGATTAAAAAACAGGTATCAACAGCTTAAAAAAAGATGATAATTTAACATTCAAATGAATCAAATGAAGAGAGCAAACAGATGCTAGATTTTAAGTGGATAAACCTGCGTGATGTTAAAATGTATTGAACAAAGGTAATTTATGTAAATGTAGACACACCTTATAGGTAGTTCATTATACCTGGTGAATTAAAGTGAGTGTTTTTTTTCTAAGTCAACAATTTAATTCCAATCCCACCTCCGCAATAAATGACTTACCCTTTGCCATCAAGAGCTGGACAAACTGGGCTCTTATAGTTCTCTCGCACACTACCACATGTGTTACATCGTGTCTTAAATAAGCTGCCTGAAATAGAATAGTGGATACAACAGCATTCTCAGCATAAACAATTCAGCTCTACAACACTAGTCTCAAAGTATTGGCCCAAGGGCCATTTCTGAACTCACATATACATAACTGTGCCACCATCTATCCTGGGAACAGAGATATGTCAGAGTCAACGGCATACCACTATGTCCCAGAATGCAGATGTATCTGTGTCTGTGGGAGTACAGATTGTTTGTACAATCATACGGGCCCCAGTTTAATTGACTTTTGACCCCTGCATCAGTTATTCATACACTATGTATGCATTGCTGTCTAATGATTTGTAACGATAATAAAAAAAAAGTGTCATTCTTCACATTATTGGTGCGGTTTCCGAGTGGGCGCACTTTGAGTTACAAGGAAAGGAGAGGCCATTTGTCAATCCAGTTCATAATGATTTGACAGAAAACCCAGAGAAATTAAACTGTGGTCGTAATTATGCTTAGAGTGTCCCTTTAACAATACTATTTGAAAAAAGACAAACTATTTGGTGTTTAAGGAAATGATATTACCATGAATCTCATAGAGGTTCCGTGTGCCTGCTTTTCGGTGTAACTCATCAATATTCTGTGTAATAACAACAACCTTCCTCCCTTGCTTGCTAAGTCTTGCTTCACATTCGGCAATAGCAATATGTGCTGGATTTGGGTTCTTTGTCAGCATCACTTCTCTGCGGTAGTGATAAAACTCCCAGACTCTGGAAGGATTTCTGGCAAAAGCCTCAGGTGTTGCCAAGTGCTGTTATAAAAACATGTACCAGTGAATCTCAAAATACGCTTTTATATTTTAAATATAGATATATATATATTTAATTAAATCAACAACATTAAGTTTGCTGTCTAGATAACTGCATAATTTGGTATATAGTAACTTGGTATCCATTTAAAGGGACATTATAGGCACCAAGACCACTTCATCTTAATGAAGTAGTTTGGGTGCAGTGTTCTTGTCCCCTTAACGATTCAATGCAAAACATTGCAGCTTGATAGGCAGATAGATTTTAGGGAAAACTTTAATATTTACATAGAATGATTAAGACTGCTTCTAGTGGTTAACTCTGTCAAATGACGCTGGATGTTCTCATGTACAGTGTCTTCAAAATCCCCATTGGAAAGCACTGAGTCAATTCTTTCCTACGAAGAAGGCCTAAAGCGCATTCGGCACTTGACGCACATCCACATTAGGTTCCAGGATTGCTGTGTCCAGCACTGAGGGACTTCTGCGCAGAAGTCCAGACAGGGAGGGGAGGCGGGGGTGGGCAGGTGGGAGCGACAGAGGGACACTTTAGTGTTCAGAATACAGTTTTGTATTCCTAACACTATAGTACTCCTTTACGTTAGTGAATCTATAGGTAATATTTTACCACTATTGTAAGTACCATCATATAGTATTCTTTTCAAAAGTAGAGATTTGCATGTTTAAATGCATGTATGACTGCATTATTATTGAAGTTATATTTCTACATAGTAAATCCCTCTATATACTGAGTGACACACACCGCTCTGCAAAAATTAATCCCTCTATATGCTGCGTGAAACACACTGCTCTGCACAGGGAATCCATCTAAATACAGAGTGGCACACACTGCTCTGCACAGTAAATCCCTCTATATACTGAGTGACCCCCACTGCTCTGCATAGTGAATCCATCTATATATTATTTACATCAGGTCTTGACAAATGTGCTTGGAATCAATGAACCTGCTAAAAAAGTTAGAAGCCAGTATTTTTTTTTAACTAACAAAGCTTCATTTTCAGCAACAAAAACACAATTCTTAAAGGGACACTAGTCACCAGAACCACTGCAGCTTAATGCAGTGGTTTTTGTGTCTATAGCCTGTCCCTTTAAGCTTTTCAAAGTAAACACTACCTTTTCAGAGAAGTGACAAGTGTTTACATGCCTGCCTTTTAACAGCCATCACTCAAATGGCCATTAGAGTTGCTTCCTAGTCTAGTGTTGCACAGTGTGCAGCACCTTTTTTCAGCGTCCTCACTATCGGCATAGAGGCGCTAAATGTTCTCCATAGAGATACATTGATTCAAGGAGATGCAGATTAGTGCATGCACAATAGCCTCCCAATGGGAAAGCATTGGCTTGGCTGAGATCCTCAAGATTGATTATCTCAGCCATGGAGGTGGGTCCAGCCACAGTGAGAGCATCATGGCGTGGGAAAAAAGGTGAGTAAAATCACTTTTCCCATGCAATCAGAGGGGGAGCGGTCACCTGAGCAGACACTCTCAGACAGACACACACACACACTCAGAAGTTAATTTTTTTTGTTATTTTTTTAATTGAAATCCACTCCTTTCCCTGGGGTTAAGTTGGGCTGCTGTCATCATCCTGATCTGTTCCCTGTTGCGCACTAGGTATGCCGGGAGCCGGAATGACGTCATATTACAGCTCCCATCATCACTGCAGGGCGTGCGAGTGAGCAGAGCAGGGGGATGACAGCTCCCTCGCCGCCTGGCTTCATTCCACACAGCGGCCTCCGGCCCACCTCTGCTCTCCCACAACACCGGATGGCCAACTCTGCTTTCCTACAGCCAGCCGGCTGTCTGCATTCTACCTCACTGCTTTGGGCCCACATATTCCAGGCGTCAGGACAAAACTCTTAGTCACCATGGCGGCCTGGTGCATGGGATTGGTAGATCCCTGGTATACATACAATATGTGCATGTTTATATACAAACATGTAATCAGTTGGCATCTATTACACAGCTGAAAGACCAAAATTAAGGAAAAAATGTTTTCTTAATTTTGATCATTCAGATGCTTAGTATATAGATCCCTAATCCTGGTACTCTGTGTACATCACATACATATGTGCAGCAAATGCATCCTATAGAGGTGCCGCACATGCATTCTGTATACAAGCAGTGCACGCATTCTATATACAATATTAAGCAGTTTCGGTGTAAAGATCATGCCCCATGCAGACTCACTACTTAATTATCTGCTATCTAGGATTTAAACCTCTAGGTTTTTGCAGCCATAACCACACAAACAACCTTTTCTGTGACACACAACATGGGAAAAATAATTTTCAACCAGATGTTACAGCACAGTGTAAGTCAGACTCCATGAAGGTCTCAAGGTGGAGAGGTCTTATCAAACTCCCAAATGGCATAGAATTGAGCAGCTAGACTGCAGGGGCATGATCTATGCACCAAAACTGCTTAATGAGGCTAAAGTTGTTTTGGTGCATACAGTTTCCCTATAAGTGCACATGTGCCCTACCATGATGCCTTGCTGCTGTGTCTTCATCAGTACACAACATCATGGGATTCATTACATTGTATGCCAGGTTGTGCCTTTAGAGTCCAAATATTATAAATCCTTATGAATAAACAGAAAACCCCAGCTTCAGAGTCACTGCTACCACTGGGTATTTACTCACTTGTGCTTGCCATTTCCTCCAATATCCACCTGCACCTCGGAATGTGGGCACTCCACTTTCTGCACTAACACCGGCACCTGTTATCACGGCTATGTGCTTTGCTTTAGAAAAGACTTCCCGAAAATCAGCCAGGTCTGTGTGAACAAAATAGATATTATTAGATATAGTGTAGAGAGGTCAGAAAGGACCAAGGATAAGTTTGTCAGGATTGATTGGAGGAAATCTCATACCATGATTATTTATGTTAGGATTTATATCGCGCAAGCATATTCCGCAGTATTGTTTTTTTTTTTTTGTGACTATTTTTATTTTTGTCAGCATTAAAACGTAAAACATGGGGGTACAGAAGAGAAGAGGGGAGGAGGGGGAAAAAATTGCAATTCGTTGCGGCTTTAGATCACTAGTGTGTGGGGTGAGGGTACAGAAGAAAAAAAACGGGGGAGGGGGGGGAAGGGGAGCCCTACTTTGGTTCAGTAGTTTAGCGGCGTCATTATCAAGTTACACAGCATCTTGGACAGTCACATTTTTGGTAGTGCGTCGGTTGTATACAATATATCATAACTCTAGATGTAGCATTTGGAGATATGTAACAAGATGTTAGTGTCACCTTTCTATGTAGCTCGCTTAAGAGGGTTTCGGTTCATGGATGGTGGTTCATGTGGTTGTCCTCGTTAAGTCTGGATAGGGGACAATGGAGGGGTGGGGGCGGGGGGGCAGAGAACTTTAGCGGAGAAGGTAAATATCTTGTGGTTGGGTTTGGGCTTAATGTGGTATGGTTCAAGCGTTAGGGGATAGAGATGTTGTCGCCTCCAATCAGGGAGGTCGTTGGTATGTGTCTGTAGTGCGTGTTTAAGTTTCAATTTTAGTTGGTTTATGTTTTTCCCAGAGCTCTCATGCTGTGGACCAGTATGGGGTTGTTCGTTGCGTGTTTCTTGCCATGGTTTCGTAGATCTTGTTTGTGTCTACAGCGGTGGCACACTAGGCAATTGTGGAGGGGGAAGTTTGCTTCCATTTTCTGCTAATAATGGTAAGTGCGGCAATGATGATGTGGTAGGCAAGGTATCTCTGGTGTTTTTGTGGTGTGTATGGCAGCAGGAGGAGCAGAAAGGTCTCGGGCCGGTAGGGTAGTTGTATGTTAGTCCATTTGGTGGTTAGATCCTCTACTTGTTGCCAGTACTGTTTGAGCTCCGAGCATTGCCACCATATATGCATCATAACGCCTCTGTCTTTTTGGCATCTCCAGCAGGTGTTGGACGTGGTGGGGAAGCTATGTTTGAGGCGTGTGGGGACCAGATACCATCTGTGTAGTATTTTCCGAGTTAGTTCCAGGTGGGTCGTGCAAAGAGTCAATTGTTTATGTACCTTGAAGATTTGCCATTGGGCATCTGAAATTTGGCCTTCAATGTCTCTTTCCCACGCTGATATGAAAGAGGTTTTTTTGGGGGGTTGGGTGTGTTCCGATGTGTAGATCGTGGATATGAGTTTTTGAGTTGGTTTGGTCGTTATGCATATTTGTTCTATGGTTTGCCAGCGTGGGTCAGACTTAGTAGGGGTTCTGGTTTCGGTTGTTGGGCGAACCAGGATTGTAGTTGCATGTAGGAGAACTCGACTGTCGTGGGCAGTGCGAATTCCTGTCTCAGGTCCGAGAGTTCCTTCAGATGGGGGCCGTGCGTTAGTTGTGACTGATGAAGTGAGATTAAGTGTTTAAAAAATAAAAACAAACAAACAGATGGGAACAGCTATGTACACAAGAGTTGTCATTAGCAACCATGCCTTAGAAGAATAATTAGAAGACAAATAACTAGGATAAAAAGAAATTTAGAGGTAACTAAAAAAAAAACTCCATTTGTTTAAAAATACATAGGGATTAAAGAGAGCGCGCAGGTAACTTGTTTTTCTTAGATTTTTACTATATATTGGGGCTGATGTGTACTATAGTCTTTGCTGCTGCCCAGTAGTGATGGGAGTGAGCGCAGGACTTTTGTATCCATTTTATGTATCACTCAGCCTTGTTACAATGCAGCCGTCCATCCCATGTGTTCCCTATTAAGGGTTAATAAGCATGTAGGGGTATATATTAAGAAAAAAATACCCCTTTCTGTCTCAGAGATCGTTGCCAGAAGCTCAAGGAAGCAAGGTGAATGGTTAGAGTTAGAACCCACCTGGGGGGGTCTGCCTTGACGTTGGCAGGTGGGCTTATCCTCTCATGGCCATTGGAGGTAACTAAAAAAACCTCCATTTGTTTAAAAATACATAGGCATTAAGGAGAGAGCACAGGTAACTTGTTTTTCTTTGGTTTTTACTAAAAAGAAATTTACCAATATACAAGATTTTAAAAACACAGATCAGATAAAGTAATGATAAAATGATACAATAAATATAGAAAAATAAATGAAAGTGATAACGTAAGTGTACAGAACTAAATTACTTGAAGACCAAGAGACAAAAAAAAAAATAAAAATAAATAAATTGGACGTTAAAAATGCCAATATCCGATTTAACTAAATTTAATATTTAACACTAGAAAATAGAAACTATATTTAAAAAAAGATTGCCCCTTCTTCAGTGAAAGTACTTCTAAACATCCTCCAAACATCTACAGAAACGCCAAGATTATAAAACAACTGGTTAAGGTAAAATTAAGGTATCTATAAGGGTATTCCCAAGTCGTCACAACTGCAAAGCATGTAAAATATTTAAATCCGAGGGTAAAATCCCATTTAAGAGTATGGTAACAGAAGCAGTTTTCCTGGTATCCGTACAGCAAGCAATATGTACACCAAGAGAAAACTAAAAGTGAGGATGTTCAAAGATCCAAATAATACATGACAAGGATCTCCGCTACACTTGCTTTCTTTACATTGTGATAACTGTCCCTTCTTTAATTTTAAGGATTTAATTTTCATGGGAATTGAACAAATCAACACCCATTGGTGGAAAGTAGATAAAGAAAAAAGTTAGCCCAATGAGAATAATTACTGATTCACTCTGGAACCGAATGCCAATATAGACATAGGGTGTTTTTTTTTATTTTTTTAAACATAGGAGTTTGTTTTGAAAATAATCTGAGAAGATTGGCATTTTAGTGCATGACAATATTAAATTAGTGTTTTCCATACATAGTAGTAATTAATCGTAAATCATCACATAGTTTTTCTTAGAATTCATTAGTATCAGGATTTAGTAGGTGATACATTAGTTAAATATAGGAACTAGATAATAAAAACAACAATGTGGATAATCTACATCTCTCTGGACAGAATCTATAGCCATTAAATTATACAAATATCTGTTTATAGCACTTTTACTTTGGTTAAAACATATAGTTAATATAGTATATAAATAAGGAGTAATAGCATTAAAATAAAAAAAATAATTACTATATGGATAAATTAGTCATATAAACTTATAATAAAAATTTTATTTTAGTATTGGGAGATTAGCATTTTAGGAAATGTTATCCTTTCCATCAAGCAAGGAAGAGGGTTATGTGGGATACTGACGAGAGTGACAAAAGTAATGCAGAGAGGAAGAAAGACTTGGAGAGAATGTAGTGAGGGTGAATGATGAGGCACTGTCAAGCAGAGACACACAGGGTAGCACTGAGTAGTTGAGAGTGTCATGCTTCTGATCAGGTCAGATATGAGACTTAAACTGGGGTTTACTTTAGGTTCTTTTTTTGGAATCTTAGACATGTTTTGTCTTGAAAAACGATAAGAATAGCAGGATTTAAAGGGAAGTGAAATAATAAAGGGGGAAAGCAGAACCTATAGAGGGATTTACAGGTAAGTATATTGAAAGATAACAGAATTCAAGAGTTAGGCAATATGCCCTAGACATCTTATAAAGTAACAAGATAACTTAGAAGTGATATTACAGGAATATAAAAAGAGAAAGAAAACCTATAAACAAAATTATAGGTTACAGGTAATCAAAATACAACTAAGCAGATATACAGAGGTTTGATTAATATAGGTAAGATATACATTTAGTTGATCAGCCCAGGGAAGTTTTAGTCGCGAGGCAAACTAGGCAGTTGCCTTGGGCGGCATTTTCCAGGGGGCGGAATGCCTTGCAGTTAACGGACAAGCCGGGCGGGCGGCGCTGGCACAGGAGCACTTTCCCCTGAGCAGTCTGCTCAGCTCACTCGCGCGCACGCCGCAGATTGAGGCTGGGAGCCGGAATGTGACATCATATTCCGGCTCCCAGCCTCAATCTGCGGCGTGCGCGGGAGCTGAGCGTTCAAGGGAAGTGCTCCCTCGCCAGCCACCCGCCAGCGCCGCCCGCCCAGCAGCCCCACTATACCCCAGGGAGAAAGAGAACCCCCCTCCCCCAGCAATAAAAAAAAAAAAAAATATATGTGTTAATGTGATTGAGTATGTGTGTATGTCTGTTAGTGTGTGTGTGTCTGTTAGTGTGTGTGTGTGTGTTAGTGAGAGAGTGTGTGTCTGTTAGTCTGTGTGTGTGTGTTTCTGTTAGTCTGTGTGTTTCTGTTAGTCTGTGTGTGTGTGTTTCTGTTAGCGAGTGGGGGGGGAGGAGGACGCCTGAGTTTTGTCCTGCCTAGGGCAGCACAAAACCAGGATACACCACTGGATCAGCCTCTTTGGTTTTGGAGGTTTTGTAGAGCAAGTTTTGGATAGATGTAACAGGGTCATTCAGGATTGTTGTAAATATCAGGAAAGTTTGTAATATCCAGGTTGGTTAAGTAATTTTCAGTAAGTGTAGAAACAAACCAATAAGAATTCAAAGTCCAGTACTGAATCAAGCAGGTAGGAATCGAAGCTCAGGTTTTCTCCAAGTGTATGGGGAGTAAGCAGGTTGGAATGAAGCAGGTTGAAAGGATGAATCAGGTTGGTTCAATAGTATTCAGAGTATAGCAGGTTTCCACAGTAGGAGCCATGATTAGAAGTCTTGTCAGGATCAGAGCACAAACTTCAGTCAATGTAAAGCCAAATTGTGAAGCAGGGTGTGGCCTCTCATAGCAAATGTAATCATCATGCTATGCAGCTGAGCGAGTAACAGAAGTTTGACTAGTGGCGAGGGAGGCCACTAGTGGAGAAAAACTGGAATTGTTGAAATAAAAAAGCAGAAAATAAATATAATTTTGGTTGTCAGGATAGGATTCTGAGAGATATTAGTAGAATACAACAATTAGCTGCAGAAGATAATCTTCAGGAAAAGGCATAGGGACACTATAGGCACACAGACCACTTCATCTCAATTGTCTGTAGTAAGCAGTGCCCCTGGCATATTGCTCCTGCAATGTAAAAGATTACCAGTTTGGAGATACAGCAATGTTTACATCGCAGGGCTAAACACACATTTCATTGAGGCTTACTTATTTTAAACAGAGAACATCACATACTCCTGTTTGATCCGGAACTTTGAAATGCACAGAGGGAACACTTGAGTATTTGCAACTTTTTGTCCCACGTGGCTTAAGGGAATAGGGGCCCATATTTTAAAAAGCAAATGAAATGTTCTCAATTGTTGAAGTGGTGAAGGTCTTACTGCTTTGTGGGACAATTGGTAGCAAACTTTCTGCCCCCTACATCCCAGAGGACCTGGTGACAAACTGCCTTCTCCCTATATCCCAGGACTCCAGGGTCAAAATGGGTGCTTCTGGTTGGCGTCTATGTAAAATCACTAGCTAGCACTCCATCTGTATTCAGCCCACGTTTTAGGTGCTGGCAAGAACTTTGGGATTTATTTAGTTGATTCTAGATTAGGTCAAAATCATAAAAAAAACCAAAAAAAACCACAACAACAATTTCTGCCCTTAAATAATACACATTAATTGTGAATGCACAACAAAACATTTTTTTTAGAGGATACACCCCTGGGTGAGGTCTTGGCTGCATTAATTATATTTTGACTGGAAACATTTTGGTTTAAACCTGTTTCTGTATAGAGATCTATATAATGTTGCAGAGGTTTAAAGTCTCATTTATACGTGAGTAATGGAAACATTGCGATTATACTATCTGACGTGATCACGATCATTCAACCTGAGAATAACTCCTTCATTTCATTATTGCTACTGATTGGTTAAATTAGTTTAAAAACAAAAAAAAAAGAATAAAAAATAAAATTGTAATGTTAGCATATTATGCAGCACAGGTTTTTTTCCACATTTTAATTCATATTTAAAATAAAAATACATATTTTTTTCCTTGTACATTTGAGCTTGGCTACAGTGATATAAACTATAACTGTATGCATGCTTTTTGATTTAAAAAGTTTTCAAGTGGTCAGTCTCAAATTAGGTGTCAGTAGTTCCTTTGGAGGTCTGTTTTATCACTAAGTGTCTGTGTCTGTCTCAGCTTAATTTCCTTCAAGTAGATGTGTGTCTGACAGCTAGATGTTTTCACATAGCTTTACATAGACAGCATGCTTTAGGTTAGCTTTCACAGTTAAAGCATGTAATTCAGCATAGTCTCATCTTCCTGCCTTTATGTCTGTCTCTCACAGGTCTACTTTATAGAAAAAACATCCTGATATAACCAAAATACCTACTACCGGTACATAAGTAGATACAATAAATGGGAGATCAGTAAAATGTATCACATTCTGGAGAGAAGACTTTTATTGATCTTTGTGTTATGTATAGACATTACTGTGAAATGTAACTGTTTGATGGGAATTTATGTATTTTCCACTTTTGTTCTGGAGAAAAAATATGGTTTTACAACTCAAAGATCTTGATCTGTGCATCTTTTCCACAGGACTAATAAACCGGTCTGCATCTTCTAGTATATTATTATCATCATCTTCATCAATTATGTAGTTAAACTAACATGTGCCCCAGAATTTTACAGCTACACATTGAGAATATATATAATCAAGTAATTAAGAGACAAAATACTGTTAACAGATGCAAAAGATGGAGTGAGCCCTGCTCAAATAAGCTCATTGGACAAAGCTTTCAATTTTTTTTCCTAACTTTTAGTATATAAAGCATGCAAATTGTTACTTACTGGAACTCGGACGTGCCATTTCTACTGAGACAGGCTTTTTTCGTGATTTTGGGTTAAGTATACAGTATACTTGGGATACAAATCTCCGGGTATGTAACGGAAGAAGAGTCATTTGTACGACTAGCAATCCTAGAACAAACAAAAAGGAAACTAAATTACAATTTATCATGCAAACGCAATGGAAATTATATTGTTATGTGTCAGATTTAGGCTTTCCAATATAAAATTAATAAAAAGAGTCAGACATTTTACAAGATCGACTACACTTTACTTCTGAACAGGCAGGTCTTGAATGGAGGATTGGGTATGGTACATAACAAATTAAAAGAATTAGAAACTGAAATGTTTGTTTAAAGAACGCACCATGCACTTTTATTGTAAGAACAATTATCACAGAAAAACCTCAAGATCATTTAACAATAGAAACATTTTCTTTTTTACATTTTAGCAGCCCAATGATACTGCATTTCAGCATCTTACCAAGACACAATTAGAGGGGATGTTACGGTACACCATACAGGAATCTGGATAAATTGCTTGTGTGTGTACTTGGTAAATGACAGCACAGCCTTGCTATGAGTCAGAGCTGGTGTAGAGAAGACGTGACGCTCTCCATGTCAGGGAGGGGGCTCTCTAAAATGCTACGTGAGCAGAGGATAGCATCTGAAATCTGCTGACAACACAATTCCCCATCTCTTCCCTCTGACTGGCTAACTTTCTACTGAGCAGTTTGGCACAAAACACACACTCTCTCTTGGATAATTTCTGGCAAATATTGTTTAGCAAAATGTAAAGCTATTCATAAAGACTGTCCCACTTCATTATTCATGTTTTGTCTCAGATGATCATGGTAGCAGCTGTAAGCAAACATTTCAGATAGATGTAACATTAAATGAAACTTAGCACCTTATTAACAGAGGCCATAGTACTTCACATGTCTATTATTTCACCATTTTGTTTCTTCTCTTAGAAGGAGTTTACTTATTTAGGAAAATATGAAAATGCACTGAGTACAATAGGAAAGCCAACAGGCACACCATAAAAGCCAAATAATGCTCAAAATAGGTGAGAAGCTATTTGTTTCACTTATTAAAAAATAAATAAAAAGACTTATATTTCTCTAAAATCCCCCTAAAAATTTGTAAGACAGATAATTAAGAAGCAAATAAGCACAGTCATTTGGATGTCAATAAATTTCCATACAAAGAAACAACAGAAAGCAGATTAAAACTATGCAAAGATGAAATAAGTACTAGCACAGGTTTAACCCCTTAAAGACCAAACTTCTGGAATAAAAGGGAATCATGACATGTCACACGTCATGTGTCCTTAAGGGGTTAAAGGATGCCTGGTCCATCTAGGATTAACCCTTTCTGCTGTAAACATAGCCGTTTCAAAGAAATGGCTATGTTTACCTATGGGTTAATCCAGCCTCCAGTGGCTGTCTCATTGACAGCCACTAGAGGCACTTCCGCGCTTCTCACTGTGATTTTCAAAGTGAGAAGATGCCAGCGTCCATAGGAAAGCATTGAGAATGCTTTCCTATGGACCGGCTGAATGCATGCGCGGCTCCTGCCGCGCATGCGCATGCAGCAGATGACGTCCAAAGGAGGAGGAGAGTCCCCAGCGCTGGAAAAAAGATAAGGGATTAACCCCTTCCTCCCCCCCTTCAGCCCGGCGGGACTGGGACCCTGAGGGTGACTGCAATATCATCCACCAAGGAAGACACACTATCGGGAGGAAGCACTTGAAAAAAAAAAACTGACCATCTCCCTTAGTCCATGCTTCCAATGGGCATCTACCATAGAGCTTTTATTCAATAATGCCTTGTAGTTGGCAAATCAACGCAAGATCCTTCGGAGTCAAATCTCCCATGGCATCCCAGTTTCCTACTATTGTCACGGTATATTCTGGTCTGAAGCCGATGTGAAAGAAGCAGTTTCTCAAAACCACAGTAAGGAATAGCAATAACTGCTGGTTCGGTGCTTATCCCCTAAAAAAGTTTCTTGGTGTAGGTCCCTGACGGGAGATTAAGCATATAGCAGGAAAAACAGCAAAGGGGTGCAGTACTGGATAGAAACTAAGGAATGTATATAGAGTTGGAGGTTGCAGGTAAGTAGTATCTGAAGCTTATTTCCAAACTCGAGCTTTATGAGAAGCTCCCAGGAACGGTGAAAGGTTATAATGAGCAATAAGAGGAGTGAATTACACTTGGCTGATTGTTGTGGAATAGTGAGCTGAAAAATAATGATATGGTATTTAACCTGATGGCTGAAAGTCCTTTAAACTAAGCCAGGGGCTTGCCATTAATTTGTCCTTATAATCCTGATACCTCAGAGTGATCAGAAGGGTATTAGGATTGTTGGCTTTGACAAAGAATGACTAATTTACTTTTTGCAGGCTTCGCAATACTGTATCTCATAATAGTTTTTAAAGTTTCAGGTGTTAAGTCCCTCAACCTCTCGGTGAAGCTTTGGCAACCTTCTTATGATATTTCAGACACAGAGAGGAATGTATCAGCAACCTTCCACATTACATAGAGCCACAAGAAGCAAATATAACTTCACTATGAGCAATGTGGAACAATGCTAACTTTACCGTCAGCAATGTTTACATTACCACTGATACTATTCAAAATTGCAATACAACCAGATCAACGGCAGAGCTCCTGAAGCTTCCACAACAGAACACTAAAAGAAATCCAACTGTAGGGCCTGTGCAGACACAAGAAGAGGGGGCAGCAGTGCATAAGCCCAGGTGGAATGGAAGAAGAGATGCTGTGAGACTGTAAAAGTCAGGGCAGTTGGTATAGACCAGTTTGAGGTGGTGGGGTTGAAGGAGACAAAGCTGGAGAATGATGCATACATTTTTGCCTTGTGAGAGCGTGGAAGAGCAATCAAGCCCTTCAGAGAAGGAGCCTGTTATCCATGGTGGAGTGGCTGAACACTCTTCTGTGCATCTCCACAGACCATGTAAACCGGGAAGGCAGACAGGAGATGGGCGATATGCACCAATTAACATCTTCTGGACAGTTGTTGAAAACCTGAATTTTGAGGTCACTGACCACAATGACTATATAGAGCAAAGACTTAATAAAGTGATAATGGAGATGAACCACGACATCAAAGGGACCCCAGTTAGGTAATGTAGATGGATCGGGTATGCATCTGATCCAGATACTTTGCTTCCAGGACCTGTCCTCGTGTAACACCTCCTAGCTTTTCATCTTATCTTCCAGTGTGGCAGTAACAGAAGCAGCCTACACTGAATGGATCTTAATATTTCTCCAGCAGTGGTCTTAGTCAGTGCTGCAGCTTCTGCTTTGAGGCTTACCAAAGTTCTCTCAGAGTCCTCCATGATCTCACTATAAAAATCACGGATCGGGTCTTTCATTTCTTGGAAACCATTATTCAGTTGTTCCTCCAAGCTGCCGCAATGGTCATCAGCGCCACCACAGATAAGGTAAACCAGGGGGAATCATTTTAACATTATCTTTTAAAGTCTAGGAGGAAATGGCAGAGCTTTTGTGAAAAAAAAATGGCACACTTGCAAAAAGAAGGTTAAACAATTGATCAACAGTAGAAATTCACAGAATCAGGACAAAGTATTAAAGCTTTAACAAGTAAAAACTTTGTTGGCTATGATATGCTGGCCACAATAGAGAGGTGTCAGAACACACAGGGCATCTCAGTCTGCTGCATATGGGGCTGTGTTGCTGCAGATTGGTCAGAGTGCCCATGATGAACCCTGTCCACCGGGAAAAGCACTTTCAACGGGGACGTGAGCATCAAAATTAGACCACAGAGCAATGAAAAAAGGTTGCTGATGAATCACATTTTCTTTTAAATCAGGTGGATGACCAGTGTGCGTCATTTACCTGCAAAGAGATGTCAGCAGGATGCAAGAGAAGAAGGAAGGCTGGTGGAAGTAGTGTTATGCTCTGGGCAATGTTCTGCTGGGCCCTGGCATTCATGTAAATGTTACTTTGATACATACCACCTACCCAGAGATTGTTGCAGACCACTTGCACCCCTTTATGGTGATGGTGTTCCCTGATGGCAATGGCCTCTTTCAGCAGCATAATGCACCCTGCCATTGTTCAAGAATGGTTTGAGGAACATGACAAACCATTGATTGAGCATCTGTGGGATGTGCTGGAACACCAAATCCAATCCATGGAGGCCCCACCTCACAACTTGCAGGATTTAAACAATCTACTGCTAAAGTATTGGTGCCAGATACCACAGGACCCGTTCAGAGGTCTTGCAGAGTCAGACTGATAGACTTAAAAAAAGGCGTTAAACTAAACTTAATTAAATTAGGTGTCAGTTTGCCACCTAATCCTGCCACTCCCCAAGCCTTGCTACGGAGCTGCCTAAAGGAGATGACAGCTATCGAGGAAGTGTTGCTATGGGATCACGAACTGCCACCACCTCCATCTAGAACCATGCAGTGCACTCATGTGGCTCTCACCTTGGACCTAAAAGAATCATCCAAAGTAATAATATATGGTCTCCAAATCAGGAGAAAATTGTCTTGCATGGAGTTTATCTAGCCAATCCATCTGAAATATGAAATGCAATTCGGTCAGGAATACTTGCAAGGAGGATGTTCCCGGCTGGCTCCAGACCTGGAGAATGGTTTTGCGTCCAACAGCTGCGATAATAATAAGAAAACATTTATTGGCAAAGTAGTAACCCGGCAAGAGTTCCAATGACAAAAATTCAGAGAGTTGGCATTTTCCCATTGTCTAGATGTAACTTCACCATAGCCCAAAATGACTGAATGGAAGCGCATTTCCACAGACAGTGATACAGATCAACTCTTGCATGAGTGGATTTGAGACAGGTCACAGACTCCTTCCCAGTCATAAGGTGAAGCCAGTGTGGAGAATAATAGGCATAGTGTAAGGTTTTAAGGAATGTGTCTTTGTAAGACACCATGGGCAAGAAAATATGTGCTCCACTTCCCCATCCCTCACTGGAGCCAACTCCAATTTGGAGTGTATTGTATCAGCCCATAAAGGTTTTAAATAGACTAGGAAGCGGAACATATTATGGCATCTAAAGGGTTCTCCTAATAGATAGCTGTGAAGTTTTGTGTGATAGTGTGATAATAGTGGCGTCCTTAGAAATAAGAAAATCATGGAAGTGAAAGGTCCAGGAAACCTGGGGTCTCCCAAGCAAGGCACATTGAGAAAATCATTGTGGCCAAACACCAGCTCCATCGTAGATACACTGCAGTCTATGGGGATTTAGATCCTCATTTAAAGAGCTGCATGCACACCTTACAATCTAGTTATAGGCATTTACATGCCGATTTAAGGAGCTGCATGCTGCATTGACTTTCAGCACTGAATGCAGCTTGTCTGTCGGTCTGGAGTCACTAAAAAATGGACCCAACTGACAGAGGGGAACCCCAAGTATCAAATGCAGCAGGGACTGCAGGAAAACAGTCCCTGCTAATACAGCACGATGGTATTATTCTGTCATGGGTCCTTAAGGGAAGAGCAACCATGATGGAATAATTCCGTCATTCATCCTTAATGGGTTAATTGGCTCCTTCTGCTATGTAGCTTCACTGACAGTCCTGACCAGCCAGAAGTCAGCCAAAAGTTCACACAGAAAAAGGGACATAATGATGGACAAAATAGCCCCCAACATTTACACACCAAATAAAAAAATACAAACCGCACTGAAGAAGGGATAAAAATATAGACAGGATCACAAAAAGCATGTCATTATGCAAAACAAAATCCTTTGATGGGTGTTGGGAGACATAAACGCTGAAAGGTCTGAGAAAAAGTCAGAGCTGGAGCTTCTCATACCAGTTTGGGAGGTTAGCTGGCAGTGAAGCAGAGGTTAACAGTGGGTAGTTAGGTTGGCTAGCAATGAAGGAGTTAACAGTGGGTAGTAAGATTGGCTGGCAGGGAATGGGATTAACAGTGGGTAGTGAGGTTGTCTAATCAGGACTGGCAGGTAAGGGATTAACTGTGAAGAGTGAGCTCGGCTGACAGAGAATGGCATGGTAGGGGTTAACAGTGGGTAGGGAGGTTGGCTGATGGGTTGAAGGAGAATTTATTACTTGCACTACAGAGAGGGAGGGAGCGCCGCCCATGTGGGCTCTAGTCTTGTCTCTGCAGTGCAGTCTGTGCTGTGAGCATTCCTTACACTACAGAAGACATGCCTCTATTTTCATTGGCAGAAAGAGGTACAGGTAAGTTACTTTCCAAGACTGGAAATCAGGAACAGGTTGCAATTTGAGAGGGGGTGGTTTAGGAGGCTGGGTTACACTGCTGAAAACAGCAAAACATTTTACGGCACTGCAGGAAAACTACACAGAAATGAAAGAAAAGAAACTAATCACTGGTATTGTGAGCTTGTTAGCTTTAATGTAAGCTCAACTTAACAGCCTGGAGTGTCATTTTAAGAAAGCTCCCTTTCCCCCTAGTCAAGGTAATGTTTGCGTAATCTGTCACTCAACAAAGTTTCCTTGTGAAAGGAGTTACTACACAATCGAGGTGAACAAAAATATTAGATTTTGAGCCATTAGAGGGTAAGAAAATGGGAGACCAAATGCTGACTGCACTGATCTATGCGACCATGAGAACACTGGTGCACATTGACAGAAGGGCAAGTGAGTCTAAGAGAATAAGATCCAACAATAAAAGAAGACCATATTTAGAAGAGAAACATGTAACTTGTGGAGTGGGATCACCATGGAGAATTAATATAAGAACGTATCCTAATAAACAAGGAGGGAGAAAAATAAAAAGTCTGACAGAGCCACTTTACATTTCAATATTTGTGAGTGGGTGTATATCTCAGTTTGTATGTGTATCTGCGAGTGTGAGTGTGTGTGTCTACTGATGGGGAGCCAGAGATGTGAACTTTAATATGGGAAAAGTACAGTATTTTTCTTTTGATTTAAATTCCAAATGAAACTTGTAGACACTGATATTTAAGTTAATCCCATATTGGAGAACAAGCCTGATTAAAGGTAGTAAAGAATATTTTTTAAATAAATATGACATCATGTGAATATTGTGTATGTAAGGAGGTGCATATGAACTATTAATGTGAAGTATAAAAGTCACAAAATGAAGATACAGTCATAACAGTTACACACAGTGGCCAATGACACACACAGTATCACACAGAGAAACACCAACATACACACCCTTATTGAGTAATATCATAACCTGGCTCCGGGCATCACCACAGGGTGCGCAAGAATTACAGCTCAGTCCCCCCGGAGTTGTTCTAAGCTCACTCCCCACGGACACTGTATTTGGGCAGAGCAGACTCTGCCTTAGCGCACAGACAACCACAATTTGAGGTGCCTTAAAGTGGCCAGCAGACCTGCTCTTGGCATGCCCTGTTAATAGTGTGTGTACCACCTGGGGTAAGTGTGCTACAAGCTGAGAAACCAGGATATAGGGATCTACTCAATAAACGCCAACTGAAGAGCAGCAGAATGCTCACTGTACAATTCAACTGTTTTAATCCATCCGGCTATTCACATATGTCTTTATTCTGGTAACCTGTTTAAATCAGCTAAATCTCCATATAACTTGAGGGATTCAGCTATTCACAAGCTGCCAAATTGTTTTTGTTCAGTTGTTCTAAGCTCCCTGACACAAACCACTGCACCACAAATTCTCAGCTCCTTTAATCTTAAGTCACTCTAATGCTACCCCAAAATCTCTCTTCACCCTACAAAGATCCCCCAATCCTAAATCCCCCCCAAAAGCTACTTTTAGATAAACAGCATTCAGGGATTCGGAATTTCTATTGATCAACACCTGTGAATTGTCGTCCCGAGAGCTGGGCAGACACTTTTTGCCTTTAGCTCTGCCTTGGGCAAGTGACAGGGCTGCTCCAGGGAATGCAAGAGCAGGTAGCATGTGGTCTGTACCCCTGGTGAGGGTATAGCAGAGAAATCACTCCCTCACACTCTGGTGCTCACCAATGAGTCAGAGCACAGCTGCCAGTATTCCCAGCCTGCACTCTGACTCACTGAGCACCGGGGCTACGGATCACAGGCTTCCACATAGACTTTATTTCCCCCCCCAGACCAGGAGAGCTAATAGCTACCCATGCGAGAAAATACCCTATGGTAGCCCAAGATTGAAAATTACCCCTATGATGGCATACCATTTGCAATAGTAGACAACCCAAGGTATTGCAAACGGGGTATGTCCAGTCTTTTTTAGTAGCCACTTAGTCACAAACACTGGCCAAAATTGGTGTTTTTTGCATTTTTCACACACAAATACTAACGCTAACTTTGGCCAGTGTTTGTGACCAAATGGCTACTAAAAAAGACTGGACATACCCCATTTGCAATACCTTGGGTTGTCTACTATTGCAAATGGTATGCCATTATGGGTGTAAATTTAATTCCTGGGCTACTATACAGTCTCAAAGGCAACGTAACCAATCTGGCGAATTTCAATTTCAAATGTAACGTGCTATATTTGACCCTGTAACTTCCCAAAACGCCATAAAACCTGTACATAGGGGTACTGTCTTACACGTGAGACTTTACTGAATACAAATATGTGTATTTTATTGCAGTAAAAGCAAACAGTATTATGACACTGACCGTTAAAATGTCATGTAGAACTAAAAAAATCAAAAAAAATCGTATTTTCTCCCATTTTTTCATATTAAATTATGTTTCATAGCTAAATATTTGATATTAAATGAAAGCCCTGTTTCCCCTGAATAAAATGATATATAATAAGGGTGGGTGCATTTACTATGAAAGAGGTGAATTACGGTTGGACAGACATGTAGTGCAAATGCCAGGTTTTGTTTACATTTTGTTTTGTTCACAACGTGTACATTTGGCTCCGTCCTTAAAGGTTTAAAGTTTACTTTTGCATTATTTAGTATGCTATGGTTTGTTTGTTTTTTACGTTATATAATAGACACACAACCTGCAAAAAGTGAAGCAGGAGCATGCACACAAACTACACACAGCCAGCACACACACACACATACATACTACACACAGCCAGCACACACACACACAGCCAGCACACACACACACACACACACACTACACACAGCCAGCACACACACACACTACACACTACACACACAAACTACACACAGCCAGCACACACACACACAAACTACACACAGCCAGCGCACACACACAAACTACACACAGCCAGCACACACACCCACACCCAGCACACGGTTGGTTTATAACTACAATCACTATCCTTAACACTATCCGAAGATGATGTTAGTCCATTGCTGGTTAGTACCAAGTAATATCCTTAGCATTGTGTTTTGTGCTCTGCCCCAGTGGGCTCCCATCTCCCCCAATGTGACTCAGACACACAGTGAGGACAGCCAGAGCTGTCAATGTCAGTCAGTGTCAGTCAGTGGTCTCCGGAAAGAGTGGGTGGAGTTTCAGAGGTTTCTCGGTGCCCCCCGTGCCCTGGCTATGTGTGCCTCCAGCTCGGTGTTCTGTATCCCGGTCCCATGTGAAGACCCATGTGGTCTCGGCACAAAGACCCCAGAAATAGTACATTACCTGCTGGGCGGCCAGACCTGGGCCTGCAGCACACCGACTCAGTAATAACAAACAGTGACAGCCACTCACAACATCCACAGCGCCACCTGCTGTCTGATCGCTACCACTGCGGCCAGGAAAAGAGCTGCTCCCAGTCATAACCACAGTCATAAGTATTTAAATTAATTATTATATTTATTGTTATTATTTCCAGGCCTATCAAAATTCGTGATTTAGGGAATAAAGCCCTGGGAAGCATTTGACATACTAATTTAGACTAACACAGTGAATTACCGAGAAAATTGCACATCTCAAATTCAGTTATCTTCCCATCTTTATTAATATTATTATTATTACTGGTATTTATATAGCGCCGGCATATATTTCCTATTATAATTACTGGTATTTATATAGCGCCGGCATATATTTCCTATTATAATTACTGGTATTTATATAGCGCCGGCATATTCCGTAGCACTTTACAATATTATCAAAGGGGAAGATTTAAAGGATCACTGTAGTGTCAGGAAAACAAAGAGGTTTTCCTGACACTATAGTGCCCTGAGGGTGCCCCCACCCTCAGGGTCCCCCTCCCGTGGCGCTCTGAAAGGGGTTAACCCTTCAGCAGCTTACCTTAATCCAGCACCGGGCTCCCTCGGCGCTGGTGACCTCTCCTTCCCTGCCAACGTCAGCTCCCCCGTCCTGACGTCAAAGTGTCCATAGGAAAGCATTTCTCAATGCTTTCCTATGGACACTCTGCGCGATAGAGGCATAATATGCCTCCAGTGTCGCAGATGCGCCTCTAGTGGCTGTCCAGAAGACAGCCACTAGAGGCTGGATTAACCCCAAATGTAAACATAGCAGTTTCTCTGAAACTGCTATGTTTGCACCTGAAGGGTTAAAACCTGTGGGACCTGGCACCCAGACCACTTCATTGAGCTGAAGTGGTCTGGGTGACGATAGTGTCCCTTTAACAATAAATTAAACAATTACAAAAACTTACAGGAACAATAGGTTGAAGAGGGCCCTGCTCAGACGAGCTTACAGTTAATAGGAGGTGGGGTGTAAAACCCAACAGGACAGGAGGTAGCAATCAAATAAGATGGAGTGAAGCAGAGCTGGAGGAGAGAATGGAGTGCTGCCGTTTAGGAGAGAGAGCAAGGGACAGGTTTGTGAGGTAGAGGTTACTCTGAGAGGCCATAAGCTTTCCTAAAGAGATGGGTTTTGAGGCACTTTTTAAATGATTGAAGACTAGGGGAGAACTTGATGGTCGTAGGCAGGCTATTCCAAATAGGAATTCTATAGGATACATGAAGCCAATGTAAGGACTGACAGAGGGGTGAGGTGTTAGAGGACCGACTAGAGAGGAGAGTCTCACCACAGCATTCATTACAGACTGTAGCGGGGCAATACGACTTGTGAGAAGACCTATTAGGAGAGAGTTACAATAATTCATGCGAGAGATTACTAGAGCATGGACAAGCTCCTTAGAAGCATCTTGTGTAAGAAAGGGGTGGATGTAGGCTATATTTGTAAGTTGGAATCTACAGGATTTGGTAACAGACTGGATGTGAGGCTCAAATGTGAGGTCAGAATCAAGTATAATGCCTTGGATATTGTAATATAAAATGTGTAATTCTATTGTCATTTTACCACAATAACCCTCCATACTGGGGGGAAAAAAGCAAAACTCTTTTTTTCCTCCCCAAAAATGGAGCAAGCAAAAATATATTTATCTCCACTTAATAATCATTATCCCCATTTACCTCCATACCAACCAGCTTTGCACCAATTAACTCTATTTACCAGTAACTTCTGAAATTCAAACCAGTAAGATGAAAATGCAAAACAAAAAGTACAATTTATACTCGCACAAGGATTGTGATCCCTAAAGGTCCATGGAACTTGGTCCTTAACCCCTTAAGGACCAAACCTCTGGAATAAAAGGGAATCATGACATGTCAAACATGTCATGTGTCCTTAAGGGGTTAAAGGTTTTTAAAGGACCACTATAGGCACCCAGATCACTTCAGCTCAATGAAGTGGTCTGGGTGCCAGGTCCCTCTAGGTTTAACCCTGCCTGCTGTAAACATAGCAGTTTCAGAGAAACTGCTATGTTTATAATAGGGTTAATCCAGCCTCTAGTGGCTGTCTCATTGACAGCCGCTAGAGGCGCTTCCGCGCTTCTCACTGTGATTTTCACAGTGAAGAGACGCAAGCGTCCATAGGAAAGCATTGATAATGCTTTCCTATAGACTGGCTGAATGTGCGCGCGGCTCTTGCAGCGCATGCGCATTCAGCTGATGACGGCCAAAGGAGGAGGAGAGTCCCCAGCGCCGAGGGAGCCCGGCGCTGGAGAAAGGTGAGTTTTTAACCCCCTTCCTCTCCATTCAGCCTGGCGGGAGGGGGACCCTGAGGGTGGGGGCACCCTCAGGGCACAATAGTGCCAGGAAAACGAGTTTGTTTTCCTGGCACTATAGTGGTCCTTTAACCCCTTAAGGACACATGACATGTGTGACATGTCATGATTCCCTTTTATTCCAGAAGTTTGGTCCTTAAGGGGTTAAATGATTTGCCATAAAACATCTCCCAATAATAGTGTTCAGACACATATCACTATATGACATTTTAATAGCTGCAAATATTTCTGTTCCAACTTAAATGTTCCCCTAATGCTGTTTTCAGATGCCTAAGTGAACTCTTATCATACTGGGAATATTTTGCTATTCTATATATTCCTAAACTAATCTATGACAAATAATTCACGCTGAAAAAATGCCCAAATTTCTTCTTTTTTTTTATTTTTTATTATGTTTTATTAACAGTAACATGGAGAAATATATAAAACAATTTACAATTATGCCTCTGTATTGGCAGCAATGTATCTCTGAGTGCTGGTTCTGTAGCTATTTCTAGCACACTGTAAGCTTGGTGATTTGGTGAAGAATCTGATTGCTCTTCCCATCCTAACCAGGCAGGTTTCTCTCTGTGTGGGGGACCTTGTCTCGATTTAAGTGGTACCATATTCACTAGAAAAACTGGGTGTCATATGTGATCCCTGTTGCCTGCCAGGTAACCACAGAACATTTTTGGACGTTGTTTTCTTTGGAATATGAAAATTTAAGATGCTAAAGTTAGTTTATGCGCAGTCTGAATTTAGCTTTCTATTCCACAAGCTACTTATTCAGATTATCTTTATGTTCAACCAGCTTCTTTTTCAAGAAAGTTATTATTTACTAAACAACAATCTGTAAACTTCCAAAAAGTTCATTCTAGCTTGAGCCAAGTGACAACCAAGCCATTCTTCTATGAAAACCATCTAGGCTCACCCAAATTTGGATTTTCTTTCTGGGTGAGCTAAGTTGGTTTTCATAGCAGTTACTTATTCAGAATGTTTCTTTGAAAGGCAAGCATGTTGTGGTGCCAAGTTTGGTGCCATATTTTATGATCAATATTTTTTTTGTCGGAGGCTAGTTTTAAGTTTTTCTGTTAGATGGACAACCCGGTCGTAGAAAAATGCTAAATTTTGGATGGGCCAAGAAGTTCATGGGGGAAACACTTGGTTACTTATTAAGAATTTTACTACATGACAGGAGGCTTCTTGTTTTAGTCTCTCTTTACTTAAAGGGGCACTCTAGTCACTAGAACCACTACAACTTAATGTAGTGGTCCTGGTGTCCCTGCAGGCTGAGCATTGTAAACACTGCCTTTTTTTACATTGTTGCCTAGGAACCCCTCTATTGGTGGTCACTCAGACAGCCATTAGAGGTGCTTCCTAGACCAGAGAAAAAACCAGCCTTTTACTGCAAAGAGACGGGGCCGGACACCTATACAGCCACTTAATGTTTGTATGCCTGACACTACAGTATTTCTTTAACTCCTTAACCCCTTCAGGACCGGACTGTTTTGGCCATGTTGTACGTTAAAGGACCACTATAGTGCCAGGAAAACATACTCGTTTTCCTGGCACTATAGTGCCCTGAGGGTGCCCCCACCCTCAGGGTCCCCCTCCCGCCCGGCTCTGGAAGGGGGAAAAGGGGTTAAACTTACCTTTTTCCAGCGCTGGGAGGGGAGCTCTCCTCCTCCGATCCTCCTCCGTTCCGCCCTGTCGGCGGAATGCGCACGCGCGGCAAGAGCTGCGCGCGCATTCAGCCGGTCACATAGGAAAGCATTCATAATGCTTTCCTATGGACGCTGGCGTGCTCTCACTGTGAAAATCACAGTGAGAAGCACGCAAGCGCCTCTAGTGGCTGCCAATGAGACAGCCACTAGAGGAAATAGGGGAAGGCTTAACCCATTCATAAACATAGCAGTTTCTCTGAAACTGCTATGTTTATTAAAAAATGGGTTAACCCTAGATGGACCTGGCACCCAGACCACTTCATTAAGCTGAAGTGGTCTGGGTGCCTAGAGTGGTCCTTTAAGGACCAGAGCTATTTTAACACTTTTGTGGTGTTTGTGTTTAGCTGTAATTTTCCTCTTTCTCATTTACTGTTCCCATACAAGTTATTATGTTATATTGTTTTTCTCAGGACAAAAAGGGCTCTCTTTGCATACCATTATTTGTATCATGTCATACAATTTACTTTAAAAAAAATAAAATATGGTGAAAAATTGGGGGGGAAAAGTTTTTGACTTTTACTTGAAAAATCTTTTGCTGATTTACAAAAGCTAATGAAATAAAAATGCTAAATAGATTAAAAATTTTGTCCTGAGATTAAAAACACCCAGTGTTTACCTGCTTTTTTGCTTTTTTTTGGTTCAAATTATAGTGATAAAAGTACAAGTAGGACATTGCTGTTTCAATATATATATTTTTTAAATTGATCAATATTGACATTGTAACACTGTTATCTGTCATAAATCTCCGAATCACACCTCACCTGTACATATTTTTTTTAAGTAGACAACCCAGGGTATTCAATGTGGGGTTTGTCCAGTCTTTTTTAGTAGCCACTTAGTCACAAACACTGGCCAAAGTTAGCATTTGTATTTGTTTGTGTGTTAAAAATGCAAAAAAATAATTATGAACACTAACTTTTGCCAGTGTTTTTGACTAAGTGGCTACTAAAAAAAGACTGAACATACCTTGGAAATACCTTGGGTTGTCTTCTTTTGCAAATGGTATGCCATCATGGAGGTAATTCTCATTCCTGGGCTACCATATGCTCTCAAAGGCAACATAACCAACCTGTAACTTTCAAAAACACTATAAAACCTGTACATAAGGGGTAAATGGCGGGAGACTTTGCTGAACACAAATATTAGTGTTTCAAAACAGTAAAACATATCACAACAATTATATCATTAGTGAACGTGCCATTTGTGTGTGAAAAATGCAAAAAAGTCACTTTCACTGACAATATCATCGCTGTGATATGTTTTACTGTTTTGAAACACTAATATCTGTGTTCAGCGAAGTCTCCTGAGTAAAACAGTACCCATGTACAGGTTTTAGGGTGTCATAGAAAGTTACAGGGTTAAATACAGTGCTAGCAAATTAAATTCTCTGGACTTTTGGCCAGGGTTGACAGGCAGGTCCCTCAAATTGCAATCAATAAAATTACTTAATTATGTAAAAATATTACAAAAATATGCACGTAGAATTTAAATATATATACATATTTATGTATTTGAAGTCTATGTGTATATTTCTGAAATTATTTATGTCATTTTGTATATGGATATATATATATATATATATATAGATATATATATATTTCATATCATTTTGATTTATTTATATATACATAGATGTATATATAATTTTATTCTAAGTGTATTTTGATATAAATATATATATATATATATATATATATATATTAATATCAAAATACAGCTAGAATAAAATTTTATATATATATATATATATATATATATAATTTTTTTATTATTTTTACTTTTTTTATTTAATTTACTTATTATTTGTATTTTATAATATATATATATATACAATATATAAAGTTATTATATATATATATGTTTATTTTAATTATAAGTGTATTTTAATATAAAAATACACTTAGTATGACATTATATATAAGATATATAGATAAAATATATATCATATATATATATATATATATGTATATATATATATATATATATATATACACATATAAATTATATTTTTATTAATTTAGTATTTTTTAAAATTTATTTTACACATGCAATGAGACCCCCTGCAGGCAGATACTTGGACGCCTATTGCGGCCATGTGACCACTCTGTTAGAGCGATCACATGGCCGCGGGGTCCTAATTCACCGAGGGAGGACTGCGTGGACTGTCAGGCAGTCCCTCCACACCGGGAGCAACGCCGATCGTCGCCGGAGGGAACGGCCGCGATCAGGTAAGCAAATAATACCGTTATGACTGTTCAGGACCATCATTGGTCCTCAAGTGGATGTTTGCGACGATGGTCCTGAACCGTCATTGGTCCTTATGGGGTTAAGCAAAATAGTCGCCTCCTCTCATTATTAAAATTAAGATTCTAGGTACACTAAAGATAGCATAATTTGCAATTTTCCATTACAATGCATTTATGTCAGGATTCCTGGTTTGGCGCCATATTTTTCAATATTTATCATTGATTTTCTTCTCTATAGAGGAATGTCATTTTTTTTATTCTTGGTTACTTTTCCATGTGATCTTTGTATCTAAAATATTATACTTCACCCCTTGCCTTTATTTATATTTATTATATTTTCTTCCTTGTGTCGGATCTCAGGATCATTTTGTTCTCCTCTGTCCATGATGTCTGTTGTTTACCCTTCTGGGAGATTTATTTACTGGTTGGTAAATTGTATTGGTACCTGAAATAGAACGTCTTTATTTACGTCTACAGGGGTTTAACCAGATGTTCTAATCACAATGTAATACTAAGAAAAATACTAATGAGGCGACATTTGATCTCACTTAGGCTTTTACATATGTATCCAGGTGCTTCCAAAGACTGCTAAGGGGAAGGCTCATGCATACAAATTTGGCAGGGTTGTCCCAAAATTGTACCAATTTGGCGGGTAGTTTGTAAATACATAAATGGTAATGTTACCATTTTGGCTGGATTTTGCTTTCCTGCGCCAATTTTAAATCCATCCATCCAAAAACAAATTAATTTACTTACATTAACCATGTTAATTGCACACAATTGATAATTCACCGAAGTACCGAGATATACATTTTTTGGTACACCAAATCTGTGAGGTAGAGTTTTATTCTCATCTGGCAACAAACTCTTTAAGGGTATTTTAAGTAATCTGGGGGCACTTGGATTCCCGTCAGGGTATGAGACTGGTGAGAAGTTCAATAGTATTGTGAAGGCAACACATAGCCCGATATTGTCATAGTAACCTATCACTACATGCTGTTACACATTGTCAGTCTGTCTTATGACCACAAAAACATTTAACTTTATTGTTATTTTTAGTTGTTGTTTTTTTTTATAACTGTTCTGTGATCTCTCTTGTACTATAGAAATTCAAATA